GAAATATAGGGGGGTTAGCGACAAAACTAAAAAACATGCGGGTTTAAGATGATTTGCCCAAACTGCCAGTTTGTTGATTGATTGGCTCTATGGGTGTCATATGAACCCTGAAAAATTGCGGCCTTACCTACCACCAGAAATGTGGTTGAAGTCTCGCTATACCATGTCACAGATATGCTTATCCCATTTGTTTGTTGTAGTTAAATGAGGGCAAAAGCTAAGATTTATAGAAAGTATTGTTCATTAAAACCTGTCTTCCTGGTGACCTTCATATTGTTTGATTAAATCACTCCAAATTTTGTTGGTTCTATCCTCAGGGTAGATCACATTTTTGGTTGCGTACATATTTGCGTTGATTTTTGGTCGAATATCCACTTTCGTTGCCTAAATTCCTGTTTGTTGTTTAGATACCAACTGTGGTGAAGCAGCTATTCTTCTTCAGAAAACATCCACTTGTTGTTCCTTAAACTGTACTCTTCCTTTGCTAAATCCACATGTTTTATTGATTAAACCACCATTTTGGTTGTCAAGCACCCGCCTTTGCTAAATCACGGTGGTGTTTTTTTGTGAAACCCTAATTTTGCTTGGTTCAATCACCATTTTGAGCAGCAAATTTTGTAGCTTAACCCACCCTGTTTGTTGCTTCACTGCCATCGGCCGAAGTTTAGGAATTGGGCGCGCTGCCCTTCCGGGGCTCCATCACGTGGCTGCAGAGTTTGCCACTGGAGCGGCACCAGAGGCTGCTGGAGACGCAGGGCAGCAGGTGGGGTGATGGGAGGATATCACCATGGGCGGGCTGATCATTTACAGGATGTTTATGAATGTGGTGGGATATAATTGAGACATAATGGTTGGTTGGTTTTTTTTTTTGAGAATTGTATTGCCTGGGTTATTAGGGATTATGATCTAATCAACAGCCGACAGTGGTTTCGAACACTGCTCAGATGGCTTGGCAGGCTTGGCAGGCTTGGTAGATGGCTTGGCAGCAGGATGTGTAATGGGCTTAAGGGATTTCACCGCTGTAACCATAGCTATAGCCCATGATTCATCCAGCTGCCCTGGCTGGAGCTACTTCCGATGAAGCTGGATCGTGTCGTACGCCACCTACGAGGCAGCCGAGTTGTGATGGGATGTCCTGGTGGACCTCTTCGACCTCAGCTTCAGGACCAAGATAGCCACACATTAATGTGTGATGACTATAAGTATAGATTGGTGGTTTGGAACATGACTAGATTATTTTTCCATTTTTTTGGGGAATGTCATCATCAATCCCCAACTGGTTGGTGGTTGTTGAATCATTGTATGACTTTCCATATATTGGGAATGGAATAATCATCCCAACTGACGAACTCCATCATTTTTCAGAGGGGTAGGTATACCGCCAATGAGGTTGTGATGGATATCACCATGAAAATTTGATGGAACGTAATTGGGATATATCCGTCTCAGTTGGTGATACATCCCATGTGGACTCATGTGAACTGATGGGGATGCGATATAAGCTGTTCCTCTTGGCATTGTTGATGGGCACAAAGCTTGTACCCACCCAAGTCGAGTCATAGCTCAAAATCCCGATGTTGGCTGATTAGATACCGATGCTAAACCCCAGCAGACCCCATTTTGTGTCTTTTTTCCATTGAACAAACATCATATCCTTGATTTTTGATTACAATGCCCATCAGATGTTGTTTCATCATGAAATTATCCCCCGTATCATTTAGTTGGCTTTGTCCGAAAATGGGTTATACCAGTTATACCCTGAGTTGGTCATCTTGTTCCCTTTGACAAAAACAATAAAATGGTATTGCCCACTTTTAGACAGACCCAAATCATCCCATATTCATTATTCATTGATTAAATCCTGCTTGTTGATGGTTGAACACCTACATTCCATGGTAAGAAACCACAATCAAAATGGGTGGTTAAATCTTCCATACGAGGTGGTGGCCTCTAGTTTTACATTGGTTTATTAGCCCATCCAGTGTTAGACTTATAGTCACCAAAACCCCACCTAATCTACTTAGAACATATGTTTGAAGGTTGAATCTCAGTATATGGTAGGTTGTATCCCATCAAATCCAATGAAATCACCATTGTGTTGGTTAACATCATCTTAAATCACCATTTTGATCCATTTTGGTTGCTTAGCACCCCCATGTTCGATGTTTAGTCGCATCTCTTGGCCTTCCCTTCAGATATCGCAGGTTCGCCAGCCGCGCCTATGCAGATCTCCACAGTGCCTTGCGCGCAGCATTAAGGCGGCCAACCGGGCTGTGTTGGAAAGACCTGCACATCTTTTCCATAATAATCTTGGTAAATGGTGGTTTAACCATGAAAAATGGTGGTTTAATGGGATTTAACCAACAAAAATGGTGATTTTAATGGGATATATCCGGCCTGGTAAACTAACAGGTTGCTATTGAAAATGGCCATAGAAATAGTGAGTTTTCCCATGAAAAATGGTGGATCTTTCCATAGTTATGTGAAAGTTTACCAGAGGGTAATGATTGAAAGAAGAAACGGTGCCATGTTGGTGGTCAATGTTGGTTGATGTTTGTCATTGACTGGGACTGAATGGAATTGACATGAATTTACTAAGCATGTAACTGGGTCAACCGACCAGTTAGATACTAACTAGCACTTCAACCTTTTGCTACCAATGCTGAAATGTACTAACCAGCTTAAAATCTGCTTAAGATCTGATTTTTGGGCAGCTATCCAAGATCACCATGTATATGTGCCGTTGTCAAACCTCTCGTGTTTTTTTCATATTGGAGGACAGTCATCAATCCATCAACAGAGATTTTTAGACCCATGGAACATATTTGTGGTTTGGAAAACATATCCTGAAATTTGTGAACGTCTTTCTAGCTGTTTAAAATACACTGAAAATATGTGTGAATTGGATTTGCTGATGGTGTAATGTCATGCCACGCAAACTGCCACATCTTCAAGAGTGCCGTCTTGTCAGAAAGACTACAACATCTTTAAATGTAAGGTCATGAATGTCATCTAGACTACAACATCCTCAGGTGTAATGTCACGTCATGTAGACCACAACATCTTCTCATGAGAAATAAAGTGTCATGTCATGCGAAAGAAACAGATCGGTGAAGGAAGCTGCCCTCTCTTTGCCAAGTCTTTCGGGGAAAGCATGGAAGTCCTCTCGAAAGGTCGCATGTGTTTAAATTCCTAATCTAAATATATCTATATATTATATCTAGATCCTAATTCTTGAAGGTAGATCCTGCCGGTTTTGCCACTTGTTGTTTTGTGTCTTTTTGCTTTTGATTTTGAGGTTGACACATTTGAGGGAGAAAGGATAGGACACTGTTGAAGAAATTACACATAAAAAAGAAAAATCGTGATTGCATCGTGTAAACATCTGTAACAGTAATTAGGTAGGGTAAGGTATAATCAGATATAATTCGGTAGGGTATGTGTGTATACCCGTAATTAGGTTGGGTCAGCAAGAACCACTGGATGTAAGAAATGCTAGGAAATCATACGCTGTGCATAATGCCTGCAAGCTCTTGTGTGAGGACTCACAAGGGATACTCTCATAAGACAAAAAAAGGACCCTGTCACATTTTCACGTCTTTGTAAATGAATGTCAATATTATATATATATATGTATATACATATATAATTATAGAAATGTATATATGGCTTCCGGTATATATATATATGTATTTACATATGCATACATCCATATATACATATACCCCCTCCGGTTTCCAGCCTGGCAGCCAGGCAGATGCAACCGGAGGACACCAGTGCCTCGGCTCAATGGAGGTGTCCGAAGTGTTTTTTGAAATTTTTAAGTGAAATTTTAAAATGGTTTATGGGTAGATAAGTGACATATCTATGACATATCTACCATATCTAATATTTTACCATTCTATGTTTTTAAAATATGTTGTATGGTAGATATGTCATAGATATGTCGATCCATGGGGGGTTATATGGGTTTATAAACCCATGAGCTTAATGATATAAATCAAGGTTTCCATTTTGTCATGGGGGTACCCCAAAGCATCCAAGTCATTAGACCATTTTGGCTTGGAGATCCCCCCATTTTAAGAACCCCCCAAATCGGAAAGGTTTCAAACCTATCCAGATATGGGTTAAAACCAAGCCAACATTTCGGAAGATCGCAGGAGATGGTTTCTAAAGACTGGGGACGTGGTCTTCAGACCACTGATTCCATCGTTCGGGTGCCAGAGTTTGACCCACCAAATCCAAGTGGAAGATGTTTAGAATCTGCCCTTGCTGACTCTTGAACCACTTATCACTGAATGTCAATCAATTGGGTTGCACATTGCCCCAAATCATCCGAAATCTGCAAAGTAATGGGGAAGACAGCCAAGTGCTGCGCTTTGCCAATTTGGGAATCGAACCAACCAGGGCTTCATCGAGCCACGATCCACTTCAACTCTCCCGTTTTGAAATGCTCAAATAGCTCTTTCTGAAAACGTTGGTATACCGGTATACCCATAAAGCCGCCATTGGATAAAGAAAATTATCAACCAGTGGATTTGGGGTAAACCCCATTTTCAAACCAATATGCAGATAATCAACCATATCTTTGTAGATGGGATGATGGGGACATTGTTCTATACTTGGGTACAATTTCACTACAGAATAAGATCAATGGTTTTATACCCATACTTATAGTGGCAATATCCCAAATCCCAACTTATGAAAAGGCTAAGACCATTCTTCTACCCAATTTTCCCAACTGCACCCCCAAATAGGTTTCATACCTACATACATACATAGATACAGATATATATATATATATTCATTCATAACATATATATATATATCCATACATACATAATGTATATATATACATACATATATATATACATAACATATATATATAACATATATATATGTAAAACATGTGTATACATAAGATATATATATACATATCCCCATTCCATCCCCATTCTTTTTTCGGCTTTGAAAAGAGATTTTCCCATGGAGATGGGCCAATGGCCACAGGGCTGGTCTACGTGACGATGGTCTACGGCGCCATGAATCGTTTCATCGCGGGCTGGGCACGGCGGATGAAGGTCCTCGCTGTGAAGACGCTGATCATGGCAGCGTGGCTGGGAGGACTTGGGACGGTAAGGGGAGGTATCTTTTTGGGGAAACAATGTATAAACGTAGGTTTGAATGGGAAAATATATTAATTATATATATATACATGTGGTGTTTTGGATGGGAAAGTAACCTGTACAATAAAGGTTTGAATGGGAAACTCGCATGTGCACATTTAAGTAGAGGTTTGAATAGAACAATCTCCGTAAATATAGTTTTTAATGGGAGAAACACATGTGGATGGGGAATGTTCCGTTACTATGATCGATTAGTAGCTGGGATCATAGGTGTAGCCCATTGGAGACTGACGATCATCAGGATCATCAACCAGCACCAAAATGCCCATGTCAATGCACTATTATCAATGGGCTATACCTATGATGATATACCTATGATGATCAGGATTGATGATCCAGCTATGCCTATGAAGGTCTCTGAAAATAAACAAGGTAGGCGGTTGATACGGCGCCCTGTGAGGGGTTGCCGATTTTAATTTTAAGATTTTCACGTCAAAAGCTGGAAGCGTGGTATTTGTGGGTCTTTGTAAAAGGACATTTCAAAGTCATGATCATTTTTCGATGGCAGGCGCATGACTCCAAAGTGGAAATTGGTGTTTCTCCTCAACGAAATACTAATTTTAGTCATCAGGGGCGAGAAAAAAAACATTTGATTTTTGAGGTTTTCATTTGGTGTGATTTGAAAATGTGCGTTTCGCCTCAACGAAACGCTCATTTTTGACATCCGGATGTCCAAAAAAAATGGAAACAAAAAACGTGTTTTTTTTTTGGAGTCTGTATAATGTGAACAACTTGCGGACAGCATCTTTTTCAGTCAACGCCACAAGGTGTCGCATGCCCCACCCCACCCCACCCCACCCCCGTGCAACGTGCAGACGTGTTAGCAACGTGGTCAGCGTAGCAGTACATGTGCGACGCAAGTGCACATGGACGTAGCGTAGCGTGGCGTGTTACATGTTACGCAAGCGTACATGACGTTAGCATGCCCCACCCCACCCCACCCCCGTGCAACGTGCAGACGTGTTAGCAACGTGGTCGGCGTAGCAGTACATGTGCAACGCAAGTGCACATGGACGTAGCGTAGCGTGGCGTGTTACATGTTACGCAAGCGTACATGACGTTAGCATGCCCCACCCCACCCCACCCCACCCCCGTGCAACGTGCAGACGCGTTAGCAACGTGGTCAGCGTAGCAGTACATGTGCGACGCAAGTGCACATGGACGTATCGTAGCGTGGCGTGTTACATGTTACGCAAGCGTACATGACGTTAGCATGCCCCACCCCACCCCACCCCCGTGCAGCCGGTTGATACGACGCCTAAAACATTGTACATACGAAAAATATGGGGATATCCAAATTCAACACACCCTCACAGGGCGCCGTATCAACCGCCTGCCATAAACAACTTGGCTGATAAAAAAAAAAACATGTCAAGAAATTCGCCGGTGATAATGGAGTTGATTCTGGTGGTCGAAAAGTCCAACTTGGTGAAATTCAAAGTTAAACCATCATTTTTGTAGGTGAAATCCCTATTTCTTGGTGGTAAAGTGCAGTGTTCAAGCTTCCGAGATCTACCCGTTTGAAATCTTCATTTCCTGTTGATTGATTTTGTTGGAAAGGTCTTCCTCAGAGGCCTAAAGTAACCAGAATTGTTGTAAAATGTGGTGTAGGCTTTTTGACACAATGTGGGTAAAACAATGCCATAAACCACCATCCCCAAGTCATCACCATAAATATATAGGTGGTATGGTTACCATTCCCAGTCATGGGTGGTTTATGACATTGTTTTACCCGCATTACTGATTTTTGTTGATCCATTTGAGGGACTGGTGTGTCGAGTAGATAACTGGGATGCTGCAGAGACAGCAGGCTCCCAAGACAGGGGTGACCCAGCAATGCCGGTAAGGTCCAAAAAATGATACAATGATACTGAAGATCCCCAAAAAGTACATAGTTGTCCTATTTGGGGTGGAATATTGCCATGTTTTGGGTGGAGGCAAATCATCGTTGATTGATGAGTTACTTTTTGAGGATTTACAGCTGGTCGCCAGAAACGCTTTTAGCAATGATTTATATTCGGCCAAAAGTTATGTTCCAACTTCAGATTTCAGGTTAGCTTCTCAGGCTATTTCACCTGGGTCAACTCCAGACAGTTTTCGCCGCTGATAGAGGCACCATTGTGGGAAAATGAACAGAAGCGAGTTGACACAGCTGCTATCTGTGCAAGAGCTATAGCTGGAGATGTCTATCCTACCAAGGTAGGTACCCATGCAGCACGGCGGCATGCGTATGAACATGTTTGCTACCTGCAGCATCAACTCAACCATGTCCATGATGCTTGTCAGGCGATGTATCGCGTCCAACATAGTTGGCAACAACTCTCGGAAGCATGCCATTGTGCTCAATGCTGAGCTAGATGCGGGAAGCCTACAGGGATAGCTACAAGAAATTGGATGTGAGTCGCACTCGCTGCACTGGTAAGGTTTTTACAAGGTGTCACCCAGCGTGGTGATGCTCTATTGACACGTGCAATGCCATCTGTGGTTGACTATCATACTACACAAAGGGCAGTGACCCTCGACCACAGACGGGTACCAGTAGGGCTCCCCCTCTGTTGGCTCTTTTGGCTACACACTGATGTAGAGTGAGCTTGGCTCCATGGCCCTCTGTTAGATCAGAAATCCGATCTCTCAATATTAAATGCCCCTAAAAAAGGGGAATAATTGTTCATTACCCATTATTATATGTAATATACATTTCAATGTTATATCAGAAATCCATATCTATCCATAAATAGGTTTAATTTATTGGATGATTATGATATTTATAAATGGCTATAAATGGCTTGTAATCCTCACTATCATACTCATTTCACTATAGCCTTAAATATTCTGGTTGGTGGTTTCAAACATTTTTTATTTTTCCATATATTGGGAATGTCATCATCCCAACTGACGAACTCCATCATTTTTCAGAGGGGTGGCTCAACCACCAACCAGATATGGTTATTACCGCCATTTAACCATAATTGGTTTAACACTGATAATGGTGGTGGTAAATAATTATCATACTGTAATTGGTTAACCACCATCATTTAGCACTATCATTGCAACTAAATGATGGTTAAACCGCCCATAGAACCACTCTGGACCCCGAGGCCACTCTGGACGCCGAAGCATACAACCTCTGCAGCGAACATCACGGCCTCTGCGTGCGTGGTGCTATCAGCGTGTTGACGCTCGGTGGTCCCGGCGCCACACGGCGCCAGGTGGTGGGAAATACATGTTGGAAATAAGTGCCTGGATCCATAGAGAGGTATAATTAGATTGGAATAGATTGGATATAATTGGGATATGTACATATATATATACATATATAGATATGTAGATCACCAACTTAATATGATATTTGCGCGTGTCTGAAAATGCGGTATGGCCGTAACATTGTAGCTTTCATGGGGAAAATGGTGACGAACTAATTATTGGATTTGGACGTATCATGTTTACAGACAAACCCAAACAAGTGTTGTTTTCCCTAGGACGCTGATCCAAACTGACTAACATGATTGGGATGGATTGAAGCCACCCATCAGAAAGTGCTGCTTTCGTTTCAACCCGCAGAAAAGGAGAGTTAACCATCAAAAATCCGCACCCAAAGACGTGAGAATGGATTGTCAGAGTCTTGTGCTGCCAGCTGTCACAATCATTTGTGATTTCCAATGCTCATGGTTACCCTCTGGTTATGTCAAAATAGCTATTGAAAATGCCCATTTATAGTGGATTTTCCCATTAAAAATGGTGATTTTCAATAGCTATGTTAGTTTACCAGAGGGTATTCCCATTTTTTCAGGAGAGTTGTTGGGTCACAAGCTTCAACATCGTGCTGATCATCGCTTTTGTAATAGCATGTCCTTCTCTTTTTTCCTTCCCCTCCTCCTCTTCCTCACCATAATCATCAACATCATCGCTTTTGTAAGTTTGAATTATAAGTCCGCATATGAAACACCGGACCATTGGCACACAAGTTCACGAGTATCAAGCATAGGAAAAAAAAAAGAAACCACCAACTGACTCCATGCACCCCAGGAACAAGTACACACTGCTGTTGGTGGCACTGCAACTGGGTTTCTCACCTGCAGCCAATGATATTTGCACCGGTTCATGCCGGTGATTCACCACTAGCTGGTCATTGGTGTGGAATCTCACCCAACATCAACTTCATGGCTTTGTAAACCCCATAAAAACTAAAACTATAGATACATCAATGAAAAACCTACCATAAACCATGGTTATTTAATGTTAATCCCAGTTCTTCACTTCTTTCAAAATCATTCAAATAGAATCGCATTTGTCCATAGTTGGGATGATTTCCAACATCAACCACCGTGGTGCTGCATATCACCTGCTATACGAGTCGATTATTCAACAACATGAGCTATCCACATTGCAGTTTTTGCATCGTCTTACCTGGATCCACAAACATCGGGAATCTCTCGATGGTCTTGGAATGGCCTTGAAGCTGGGTTGGCGGAGTATGATGTGTGATGATGTGTAGATTGTAGCCAGCTCATGACCATGCCAGATTCTCAGATGGGTCGAAACCACCAACCAGGTTTGTTAGACATATGGAGATATCATATCGCCATCTTTTGACCCCAGGTACAATGCTACCACAGAGCTGCAGGTTTCGACGTGATGTGGTTCGATTTCGACATCTTTGTGGTGCAACATCCGACCAACGCCATCCAAAAAGCCAGCGAAGGTGCTTAAGTACCTGGTGGATCTGAAGGATAGTGGTGCCAAACATAACCCCAAACATGACAAAATCTTGGAATAGAAAGTCAGATAATTTCCTTTTTAATCAAAACGTCGATTCATGCAAACCTTAACGGCAGCACTTGTAACAGATCACCCATCCTTTTTAAAGATGGTCCACCTCAAAAATGAGAGTTGCAATACGTTGGTGTCTTCCACCCATCAACTGATGGGACGATTCTGGCAGTGGCCACTCGGCCGAGTTTTTGCCCACGTTTCAAGGATCATGCAGCTTGTGTCTTGCTCAGCCACAAGAAAGTCGAGGACAATAACCCTAGCATAACCCAGTCATATGGGGGGGTTCTTGAAATGGTAGATCCGCAAAACCATAGGTTTCAAGACTAAAATCGTCCAATTTTGGTTGATTTGGGGGTACCACCCCTTTAGGAACCCCCCATATATGTACCTATCCCCACTCATTTTGGGGTACTTGATGACGAAATCGCAGGCTACGATCTGCTGATGGGCTACGATTTAGACTCGGACTGCCTGTGCACCCTGGCGGGTAGTGCCCTTGGAGGAATGGCTCGGAATGAAGAACTGGGATCAACATTAAATAACTATGGTTTATGGTAGGTTTTTCATTGATGTATCTATAGTTTTTATGGGGTTTACAAAGCCATGAAGTTGATGATATGGAGTTTCCTAAAGTATCCCCTCCAAGTCATGGATGACCATGACTTGGTATTGAAACAACTCGGGTGACTCATGGAACCTCCATGGCTTCTTCACAAACCCAAGTGGAAAATCTTCATCAGCTCGGCCATGCGCCTTCACCATGGCAGCTGGCCTTATCATGGGTCCATAGCCAAAGTGGCCATGCATTTAATCAGTTAATCATGTCCAGTTGTAAGGGGATATATACAACCATAGTATACCATAGTATACCATAGTATACCATAGTATACCATAGTATGCCATAGTATACCATAGTATACCATAGTATACCAAAGTATGCCATAGTATACCATAGTATACCATAGTATACCATAGCATGCCATAGTATACCATAGTATGCCATAGTATACCATAGTATGCCATAGTATACCATAGTATACCATAGTATACCATAGTATACCATAGTATGCCATAGTATACCATAGTATACCATAGTATACCATAGTATGCCATAGTATACCATAGTATACAATAGTATACCATAGTATACCATAGTATACCATAGTATACCATAGTATACCATAGTATGCCATAGTATACCATAGTATACCATAGTATACCATAGTATACCATAGTATACCATAGTATGCCATAGTATACCATAGTATAGTATACCATAGTATACCATAGTATACCATAGTATACCATAGTATACCATAGTATACCATAGTATACCATAGTATACCATAGTATACCATAGTATACCATAGTATACCATAGTATGCCATAGTATGCCATAGTATGCCATAGTATACCATAGTATACCATAGTATACCATAGTATACCATAGTATACCATAGTATGCCATAGTATACCATAGTATACCATAGTATACCATAGTATACCATAGTTATAGGGTTTCATGTCTGTATTTATGGTGTGAAATTCCCCATGGTTATACGATTGCCAGGTTTCATGATGCCAGGGGGTAGAAAATATTTGCAGGTCAGTTGGATCTGCCATGCTCGATGCTGCCAACATGTTGAAACTGGCTGGTAAAGCCTCCGATAGGTGATGTTTAGGTAGCAGATTTTACAGCAACCCCCAAAAAAGATGCTAGAAAGATAAAGAGTGTGCAAGCAGAACGGTACTTCGATGATGTTTTCTCCTGTTTATTCTACCAGCTATTCTACCAGCTATCCAATTAAATCCCATTACACCCCATTCAGCATCGTTCTGGGTAAATTATAACGACCTCACTGGGACCTCACTGGGAATCATGGTTAATAAGGGGAATCATCCCCAAATGGCCTTAATTCAGGTTAGTGAAATATTACAATTTACCCAGATCATTAACCCCATTAAAGGCGGCATGTTTTTCTTTTTTTTTGTTGGCGCCGAGGCAATGGTTTCTTCTTCATCCGTGCCTGGGATCGATGTTCGGTTGGTCCATTTGTGAAGTGGATTGGAGGGTTCATGGTGGATAGGGATTTCTATTGGATATATATATATATTATATTATATATATATATATTATATTATATATATTATATATATATATTATATTATATATATATTATATTATATATTATATATTATATATTATATATTATATATATATTATATATTATATATATATATTTATTTTTAAAAAAAAAGTATGTATATATATATGGGATGTAACCAACCAATATATGGATAATGATGGGAATAATGGGGATTGATTGGATGTAATAGGGTTTTCACGGTATTTCATAGGAGTTGATTTGGGGATTTCACGGGATTTGATGGAGAGAGGACGAGGATTATTGGAAATTTCTGAACTTGGGTTAGATAGCAATTTTAACAGGAAAATGATGATCAACCAATGCAAACCACTAAAATGGTGGTGGATACATGGAGAAATTGTGCAATATATGGTTCTAACCAGTGAGGCTTGAGGATCTCAGAAGCCTGTGGCAGTTCTGAGGTGCACGGTCCATTTTGATGTTCGGAGTATGTGAGGTTTCAAGGAGGCTGGAAAAAGGCCAGCGAGGCGGTACTGGGCTAGGGAAGTTCAGAGGGTCCTCAAGGCGGTACGAACCCTCGACAAGATTCGACGAGGAGCTGCCTTGAAATTCTTGGAACGGAAACCACTGGAATTCAAATCTTTCCTCTTCCCCCTCGAAAGGAGGGAGAGCCTGGCTAGGATTGTCTGAAAATAGGGGACCTCTAAATCCACTGGTTAATCATATCAGACATATTATCCTTAGTAAATGGTTAATTATACACCATTGATCCTTATTTCAATGGTATGGTTTTTTGTTGCATACACCATTCTCAGACACATATCTATCCTTGTGGCTTACGAAATCCCCGGTAGTCCCCACTTTGTGTATTGCGGCCAAAATCCGTTGCTTTATAGCTATAATATCTGTATATATATATATGTGTGAATAAAGATAGATAGATAGATAGATAGGTAGATAGGTAGATAGGTAGATAGGTAGATAGGTAGATAGGTAGATAGGTAGATAGGTAGATAGGTAGATAGGTATATAGATATATAGATAGGTAGATAGATAGGTAGATAGGTAGATAGGTACATAGGTAGATAGATAGAGAGAGAGAGAGATGGAGAGATAGATATATATATATAGATAGGATAAAGAGATAGAGATAGAGAGAGAGAGATAGATAAAGAGATAGAGATATAGATAGCTTGACAGATTGATAGATAGATAGATAGACCGACAGACAGAGAGAGAGAGATAGATAAATGTAAAGAAACTCTGGTTGGTGGTGGGGAACATGAATTTTATTGTTCCATTCAGTTGGGAATGTCATCATCCCAACTGACGAAGACCATCATTTTTCAGGGGGGCTCAACCACCAACCAGATATGGTGTTTCAATCGCCAAGGGGCCAACGAGAAGACGCACCGCTGGCTCTTCGAGATGGTCCGATGGCTCTACAACCATCCCTATGACTCCCGGCCACCGAAAAAAAAATGGGATTTTGACGGACTTTAATGGGATCTTGATGAGGAAACTGGATGGACATCTGGATTTTCACAGGGACTTTTTTTCGGATTTTCCCATTTCAAGATGGATTTTGGGACATTAATGTTCTTACCCAAATGACTTTTGGTCATGAACATGTGATTCTATCAAAATTTCACCATCTAAATATAGAAAGTATTCCTTTTCTGGTACTTGGTACCCCATGCCTTTGAATGGGTCAATGATGACAACGTTCAGCCTGGATGCTGAGCAAAATCCCTACAGGATGGGGCCCGTTTTGCGTTCAGTTGAGATTTATTTTTGTGGCTGAATTAACTCTGGTTTATGCTAGATATTTCACGAACTAGTTTTCATTAGGGGCTTTATAGACCAACATTCACATCACTGGGGGGGCACCATCCTGTACCCTCCAGTAAACTAACAGTTTGCCAGGGTTCGTGGGGGATATAACTATAGTTAATGGGTTTGTTGGCCTGCTCCATTGAATCCACCAGATCCCCATGATATTCCGATATATTTTTTTGGCAGGTAACAATCACATTTAAACAAGATGAAGCCCACGAACCCGAATGCTCACACGTATGTTAATGGTACAGATGTCAATACACATGGTTATGCAGTCACGCACAATACCTTTCTGCAATAGTTTATTTGAACAGTCTTGTACATGTTCCCTTGTTACCAGTCTGCAGTGTGGAGTGTAAAGTGTAGAGTGGGGAGTGTAGAGTGTGTAAAGTGTAGAATGCGGAGTGTAAAGTGTAGAGTGTGGAATATGAAGTGTAAAGTGTAGAGTGTGGAGAGTAGAGTGTGGAGTGAGGAGTGTAAAGTGCAAAGTGTGGAGTGTGGAGTGTAAAGTGAGGAGTGTAAAGTGTGGAGTGAGGAGTGTGGAGTGTAAAGTGAGGAGTGTAAAGTGTGGAGTGAGGAGTGCAAAGTGGAAAGCGTGGAGTGTAAAGTGTAGAGTGTAGAGTGTAAAGTGTAGAGTGTGGAGTGTAGAGTGTAGCGTGTGGAGTGTGGAGTGGAAAGTGTAGAGTGTGGTTTGTAGAGTGTGGAGTGTGGAGTGTAAAGTGTAGAGTGTGGTGTGTAGAGTGTGGAGTGTGGAGTGTAAAGTGTGGAGTGTAGAGTGTGGAGTGTGGAGTGTAAAGTGTAGAGTGTGGAGTGTAAAGTGTGGAGTGGAGTGAGGAGTGCAAAGTGGAAATCGTGGAGTGTAAAGTGTAAAGTGTGGAGTGTAGAGTGTTTAGTGTAGAGTGTAAAGTGTAGAGTGTGGAGTGTAAAGTGTGGAGTGTAAAGTCTAGAGTGTGGAGTGTGGAGTGTAAAGTGTGGAGTGTAAAGTGTGGAGTGAGGAGTGTAAAGTGTGGAGTGTAAAGTGTGGAGTGTGGAGTGGAAAGTGTGGAGTGTGGAGTGTAAAGTGTGAAGTGAGGAGTGTAAAGTGTGGAGTGAGGAGTGTAAAGTGTGGAGTGTGAAGTGTAAAGTGTGGAGTGAGGAGTGTAAAGTGTGGAGTGTGGAGTGTGGAGTCTAAAGTGTAAATTGTGGAGTGTAAAGTGTAAAGTGTCAAGTGCGGAGCTTCCCCCATAGACACGGCGACGCCACAGGAAAACCAGAGACTCGAGACGAGACACGTGGGAGCACCAAAACGAACATTTCGTACGAGACTTCCTCCAATTTTGATATTTTCGACACGTTATCAAACAGGTTGGAATGTCACAAAGTGCCACGCCTGCCACGCAAAACGACATGACAACCTGCTTGGACACATTCGAATAGGAGATGTTTTCCAGCTTCCCCCATAGACACGGCGACGCCACAGGAAAACCAGAGACTCGAGACGAGACACGTGGGAGCACCAAAACGAACATTTCGTACGAGACTTCCTCCAATTTTGATCTTTTCGATACGTTATCAAACAGGTTGGAATGTCACAAAGTGCCACGCCTGCCACGCAAAACGACATGACAACTTGCTTGGACACATTCGAATAGGAGAGGTTTTCCAGCTTCCCCCATAGACACGGCGACGCCACAGAAAAACAAGCGCCTCGAGACAAGACACGTGGATACAGAAAAACCAGCATTTTGTGCGAGACTTCCGGCAATTTTCACAGTTGGCAACATGACAAAAGGACACGTTTTGCAGCTTCCCCCATAGACACGGCGAGGCCACGGGAAAACCAGACACGCGAGAAGAGACAGGTGGGAGCACCAAAACAAGCATTTCGTGCGAGACTTCCTCAAATTTTCACACTTTGCAGCTTCAAAATCGACGTTTTCCTACGAGTTTTCCTTAGAACCCGAAAATTGGCAACATCAAAATCGATGTTTCGTGCGAGGCTTCCGTCAATTTTCAGCACATCGCACAAAATGCCACGCCTGCCACGGAATTTGCACCTTGTCGCCACTTGACGCAGCCCTGCCAATGCGATTTGCAAAAAACACGCAACGCGACACGTCTAAAGTGCTGCGCCTGCCACGAAAAATGACGATGGACACGCCCAAAGTGTTGCGCCTGCCACGAAAACTGCAACACATCTTCTGAAAACGTCGCAAAAGTATTGCGCCTGCCACGCAAAACGATTTTCAACACGTTGCAAAACATGTCTGAATGTCACGAAGTGCCACGCCTGCCACGCGAAACGAAGCAACGACACGTCTGAAACCTCCAAAAATTACCACCTCTGCAGAACTTCCCATAGGCACGGCCACATGGTCCTCGCGCGGACGGTTGCGGACGGTTGCGCTCGCGAACGCAACGTCGAGCGAACACACCCTCAACCCCCAGACCCCCAGAGTGAAACGGGAACCCTTGCTACGCATTCGGGAAAAAAACATGGAAAAAAAAACATGGAATTTCCCGTCAAAGCCCATTAATACCCATTAAAATCCCATATTTGATAGCCATGAATCTAATTTACAATCCAATATTTTGGCTCATCAAAACCCAAAAATCGCCCCAGGAACATGACCAGCGGGCCATGGGTGCCTTCCTGAACTACACCGAGCGCATTTCGCTGGATGCCCAGGACGTAGCTGCAACTGGCAGCGGGGCGGTCGGATTTCGTGGCATTTCAGTGGTATTAACCATGGGATATTTGTGGCATATATACTGGTTGGTGGTTTGGAACCATGGAATTTTATGACTTTCCATTCAGTTGGGAATGTCATCATCCCAACTGATGAAGTCCATCATTTTTCAGAGGGGTTGGCTCAACCACCAATCAGTATAGATAATTGGTATTAACCAATATGTAATACGTGGATTTCGGTGGTATTGACTACTTTTTCGGCTCACCCTACGAATGGTAAGTGGCTTATAAACCCAATTATAAGTGGACTAACCCTACCCTACTTATAACTGGGGTGATAACCCACTTACTAAGTAGGGTGAGCCACTAAGTATGGGATATGTGTGGAAACCTACAAAAAACTATGGAAATCACCAAATATCACCACTATCACAACATCACCATGTGTGTGTGTGTAAAAGCTCCTCTGTGTAAATGCTTCTCTGTGTGAGGGCTTCTCTGTGTGAAAGCTTGCTGTGTGTAAAAGCTTCTGTCTGCAAAAGCTTCTCTGTGTAAAAGCTCCTCTGTGTAAAAGTTTGCCGTGTGTAAAAGCTTCTGTCTGTAAAAGCTTCTCTGTGTAAATGCTTCTCTGTGGAAGGGCTTCTCTGTGTAAAAGCTTCTCTGTGTAAAAGCTTGCTATGTGTAAAAGCTTCTTTGTGGAAAAGCTTGCTGTGTGTAAAAGCTTCTCTGCGTAGAAGATTCTCTGTGTAAAAGCTTCGCTGTGTAAAAGCTTTCTGTGTGTAAAAGCTTCTCTGCGTGAAGGCTTGCTGTTTGTAAAAGCTGTGTAAAGGCTTCTGTGTGTAGAAGCTGTGTAAAGGCCTCTTTGTGTAAAAGCATCTGTGTAACAGCTTTCTGTGTAAAAGCTTTTATATATAGGAGCTTCTTTGTGTCAAAGCTTGCTGTGTGTAGAAGCTTCTCTGTGTAAAAGCTTCCGTGTGCAAAAGATTTTCTGGGTAAAAGCTTGCTGTGTACAAAAGTTTGCTTTGTGTAAAAGCTGGCTGTGAATAAAAGCTTCCCTAACTCTGTGTACAAGCTTCTGCGTGTACAAGCTTCTCTGTGCAAAAGCTTGCTGCGTGTAAAAGCTTCTCTGTGTCAAATATTCTCTGTGGAAAGCGCAGGGGTTGCTTGCTTTGGCGCCGAGATCCGTTTTTGGAGCAGGTTTTGGGCCAGAGAAAAGGTGAGATGATTTGAGAGTGCGCTGAGAACAGCTGAGATGAGGTGAGACGAGCTGACAAGAGCTGAGATCAGCTGAGTAGATGTGAGAATAGCTCAGAAGATGTGAGAAGAGGAGAGAAGAGATGAGAACACATAAGATGAGCTTACATGAGCTGCGGAGAGCTGAGAAGAGTTGAGAAGAGCTGTGAAAATCTCAAAAGCTGAGATAAGCTGAGATGAGATGAGAAGAGATGAGAAAAGCTCAGGTGACATGAGAAGGGATGAGAACAGTTGTGATGAGATGAGGGCATCAGATGGGATGAGAAAGGGATGACAAAGGAGATAAGACATCAGATGGGATGAGATGAGATGAGGTGGAAAAAAAACTCAGAAGGCATGAGATGAGTTGAGATGAGATGGGATGACACAGACTGCGGTGACAGAGGGATGCAATGAGCAATTTCCAAGAGAAGCGGTGAAATCAGATGAAATGAGGAAAGATTCAACATTCGAAAGACATGGCATCAGATTGACAGGTCACGAGCTTGTTGCTACGATGCGCAGGAGGCTTGCCTGTCACATAGGCACAGCCTTTGCTCCGCTCTATAGGCTATAAGCGTTTCAAATTTGAAACTTCCGCCCCCGGCTTGCCCGGGCACTACTTGTAAATTACGAGAGGGTATATGATTGGTATTAACCCATATGTGGTAACCAATATGTGGATTTCAGAATTAATTACCATATATGGGATTTATTGGTATTAACCCGCCAATATGTGCGGATCTAAGGGAGGTTTATATAATGTGAATCAAATGGAGCTTGTCGGGATAACCTATGCCACATATTGTCCCAGCGTTTTTGGAGATATGATGGGATTTAATGGGGATATATTTTTGTGCGTCGTTCAGTATCGCGACCATGAGGGAAGGGTGTTGGTGAAAGTGGCATTTCGTTTGGACAGTCCGGAAGTTTAGGGCCAAAAAACAGGACGATGTTATGCATAGACACAGAGGGTAGGTGAACTCGGAAGCTTGGGTTACGAGTGTTTGGCGGTAGGCAGTCAGCATGGCATCTTGTGGCCTCAGGCGGAGCAGCAACAGCCTTGTGGCCTCAGGTGTGTGCCGACCGGCCGCGGCGCAGGGCGGTGGAAAGGTAACGCAGTGCTTTCCAGGATGTCCACCGGGGAGAGAGAACGAGCTGCCCACGAGGAGGCAAGTTCCAGGGGAAGCCACCGCAGAGAAACCTGCAGAGGTGATCAGTGGTAGAAAACATCAAACAGCCAGACACAGCGTGAAAAGCCGGAGATGGGTTAGCAAGCAAGGCAGATGATGGAAAGGAGGGCGGCCCAGAGTTCAGCGGGCCAAAGCATGGCGCCGAGGATGCCACAGTTTGCGCCACCGATTCTTTCAGCAACCTCTTCATGTTTATGATATATTGGGATAGTGGGGTGTGTAAGAAAATGAATGGGATATCTGATGGGATTATCCGGATTAACTGTCGGGATGGGGATGGCGATGTTGTGCGGATTTGGGGATTTTTCATGGGACATCACCAGCAATATATGTGGATTTAACAAACAAACATGGCTGTATAATGGGTGTGGAATCATTTGTCATATGAGGTTTTCAGTTTTAATGGAATTGAATGGAGATATAATGCGGATTCAAGATGAAACGTCATGGGATCAGCCAATATATGGGATTTAAATGGTATAATGGAATATATTATATTTTTATAATATATATATATATACATATTACATATGTATGTACATGTATAGCCAACTTGATATCATGTTTCAGTGTGCCTGCGAATGACCAAACAGCTGAGAAATTGAGGTTTTGTGGGTATCTAAAGTTGGCTGTGAAACACTGTAAGGATAACGGAAAAACAAACACTGAATTTCGAAAATTTGAGGATGACAGTTGTGAACAACAACGTACAGTAATTATTGCAAAATATTGCAAGCAACAAAGTCTGGAACTTACCAAGACTCACCGAATGGATGTGTCTGAAAATTGGCTACCCCGAAAAATGCGATGGTTCATCCGATTCCCACTGGAAACCATTTTGGGAATCCCCATTTTCAGACAGAACCAAATATCATACTGTTGATTCTATATTCCTTCAAATCCCAACTATACCTCCACGAAATCCCATTGAATTGAATCCTTGCTAAATCCCTACAATGTATGTGTGTATGTATATATCACCCTATATTGTTGGTTCTAAGTTCCATCAAACCCCATTTCATCCCCATTTTCTATATGTATATACCATTTAACCCCAATTACATCCCGAGATAATTCTATTACATACATTCCCATAAAATCATGTTAAATCCGCGTTAAATCCTATTCAACCCCATTAAATGTGAATATGTTGATGTTTTTTTCTGCAGCCTATCTAAAATTTGCCCACGGCCCACGATATTTTTTCCCGAAACACCTGGGTTTAGGACCTGCCGCCTATCCCACGCTGGCATGTCTTCAATGAAGAGATCCTTGGGCGAACTGGGCCGTCGCGGTTTTTCCCCGTTGGTTTTGCAGTGCTTGCGAAGTCAGTTATAGTGGGTAGATAACTGGGGACACTGGTAGAAATGGGATGCGATGAGCATATCATGGGTGTCATTTGAAGGTGATATCATTTGCAAACCTGCCAAGATTTCAACTTCAACCCATGGTCTGCCAGGAATTTTGCTCCCCAACTGGTCTGAAGCTCCGTCCTTTTTTTCGGCCAGGAATGCATTCATCAACTTTGGGCCATGGCTGGGCAATTTCGATGAACTCGTTCTGGCGCCTTGGGTCAAAGATGAGCCTGCTGATATCCATGTGGGGTATCAAGCAAAGGTGGAGGAGGGCTGCTATGGTTGCCAAAGTTTTAACTGTATTTTTCGTTTTGGTGGTTGTAGCTTTTCAGAGAAGACTGGTAGGAGAGGGTGCCAATGAAGAGATGAAAACAAACGCAGAAAAGCTGGGCGCTCACAGCGCTGCTTTCAGTTTCAAATATCCCCAAGATATATTTCATTATATCTATCTAATCATATAATTAGATATCCCAATGATATAATTAGGTAATGGAATATGTTCTCCCAAAAATTACCTAATTATATCATTAGAATATTATTCCCAATCATGATATTATATCCCAGAAATTACCTAATTATATACTTATTCCATTACCTAATCATCCCAACCATTATTCCCAATCACTATTCCAATGACATCCCAACCAGTAATGGTATATGATGGGATCTAATGGATTATAGGACGATCCCATTACATGATTGGGAGAATATCTAACTAATTAGAGGATGCCAGTGGAATTACAAATTCCCAATGAGTTAATCATGACATATCCAACTAGTTAATGGGATTATAAGCCATTTATCATTTACCCTCTGGTAAATTAACATAGACCCTGAAAATAAGCAATTTTTGATGGAAACCAGTTTTCCAACCCCGACAACTGCCAGGGTCTATGTGAATTTGCCGGAGGGTACCATTATAAGCCACTAATCATATAATTTTCCCAATGATATCCCAATTTTTAGATCCGCACCGGTCCGAAGGGGTCGCCAGGTGCACTTCGTGGACGGCAGCGCCTTCAGCCTCTACGGGCGGCCCAACACCGATCCCTCCATCCCCTTGGAGAAGGCGATGTCGGGACAGTGGGACCTTCACAGGGCAAAATGGGATGGAAAGAGCAGGAAATCCATGGGTTTTGTGGTGAAAAAATGGATGAAAAAACCAACTGGTTGGTGGTTTGGAACCATGGAATTTTATTTATTTTTTCCCATATATTGGGAATAGTAACCCCAACTGACTAATATTTTTCAGAGGAGTGGCTCAACCACCAACCAGATGCTGGCAAAACATGGATTTTGAGTCAAACCAGTGAAGAAGAGTGGTGTTATTGCATGATGAACTGGGATTTGAGGATGAATAACTCGGATTTGACCCAGAAGAACAGAGATTCGCCAGAAAATGCGCTGATGAAATTGGGATTTTGGTCAAAACCTTGGGGATTTTGACCAGAAAATATGGATTTAACCAGTGCAACTGGGAGAACATCATTGAGTTGTTGGTGAACTCGTGACCACGGCACACTCCGGATTTCTGCTTGCAGTTACCTGGCCTGGTAAACCAACAGTTTGGTATTGAAAATGGCCATTTATAGTGGATTTACCCATTAAAAATGGTGATTTTCCATAGTTACACACAACAATTCCGGAAAGCCCTCAAGATTGGAAGTTGAGGTCGAGGATCCTGAGCCAACAGATATGAAGAAAGCCTTAAGATCCATGTTTGTGTCTATAAAAGGCTCAGTTCTACCCAGTTCACCCTGCAGATGATCTCGACATGCCCCACAACAAAAGCCCAAGCTCCCTGAGGGCTACCCACCATTACACCATTGGTAGACGATGCTGACTGAAACAATCAGTCAGTGACCCAAGATGTTTTTCTCATTTCCGAACATTCGAATACTGTTGGAAACCCTGGCTGTCATAAACCGACCATTTGGGGATCGTGTACCACCCATAAAAATGGCCATCTTGGGATGGTTTACTCATTGGGTTTCCCACTTCCGATTGCTGTGGATAAACCACTGCCCCCGCTGCTTGCTGCTTGAGATCAGAATTGACGGATTGTTTGGTTTGCTCAAAAAAAATGGGTCCGAAAAGATAATAGTGTCAGTTCAGAAAATGTCAATCTGCTGTGTTCGAACTAAAGAATGGGACCAAAAGTTTAGAGATTGTACACAATATACAGTGGTCCTTAAAACAAATGATTTCATGACAAACAACTATAGTTTGGACAAACAGCCCATGGTTTGCCATCAATTAATCCCATGGGCTGTTTGTCTGACAATATCTTAGAGATTGTCCACAATAACCCCATGGTTTGTTTACAAGATTGCCATATTCCCATTAAGCCCCCATTGAATCCCATCGGTTCCCCTTTATAGAGAGAATTTGCAGGGAATCCCGTGAAAACCAACATCAACATCCCATGTAAAAACTGCCCAAGCAGAAACCACCATGACTGGGCCGTAGGTGGCTTCGAAAACCCAGGAGACGGTCCCTTGAATTCGGAGGGACCATGGAGATGGATAAAATGACTAGAAATCTGGTGGATTCTACCGGAAATTCGCTTCAAATGGAGATGTGAAGTTGCGAGTTACTTGGATTTTTAGGATTTTTAAGATGATGGCATCAAAAATTCTGGGATGACGAGTATTGGATTGATGCTAGTGAAGGGATAAATTGGTTTAAAACAAGTTCCATTGGTAACATTCACAAATTGGATAGCTGGATAGCTCTGAGTTGGCTACCAACACCAACTCTTTGTGGATCATGATGTTATCAGACACCAATATCTATGAATGACCATTGAACATAATGCCAAGGATATATCGTAAGATATCCCATGGTCAAGGATTAATATAACGGTCTGGTCATCGATCACGCATCACCTTTGAGGCCAGTTGACATTAATGATGTATAATTCTCCTTGAAATGTCAAAATGCCATCTGTAATGTCATGTATGAATTTTGTTGTTCAATGTTACCATCTTTGATTACCGGATTGTATTTTGATATTTCAAGCAGATGAAATCACACATCCTGAACCGTATACGATACCTTGTGGCAAATCAACTTTAGATCCAAAATCGGAAAAAGTCGCATGGTTCATCATTTTTTCCAAAAAACGGTCTGAAGCAAGCAGACCCTCCATGACTCTTTCATCCCCATGTTGTTTTTGACGTGGGTGACAAATGCTTCCAGCTTTCCCGGGTTCCAATCTTTGAGGCGTCAACGTCCCATCTCTCCCCCATTTCGGTGAAGCCATGAATCAATTGGGGAGTAATTAAGGGTGTCCATAAATGGGGGGAACGTCAAATCATCCATGTCAATGGTGTTTTTCAATGATAAACCATCCAGCTATTGGGGTACCCCCATTTATGGAAACCTTCATATTGGTTCTATATCAATATACGGCATAAATGGTGTAATGGTGCCATTTTCTTCATTCAAAATCCCTATATCTGGGATGGAAAAAACCAACTGGTTGGTGGTTTGGAACATGACTTCTATTTTTCCATTCAGTTGGGAATGTCATCATCCCAACTGACGAACTCCATCATTTTTCAGAGGGGTCGGCTCAACCACCAACCAGCCAATAAAGGGAGAATCTTAACCACCGCTGAGGCCTCTTCCGTGATGGAAGACTTCTATCAGCCCGAGGCTGGGGGACTGGCGCCGGCCGCTTTGTTTGGGGTGCAGTTGAGAATACTATGGGTATAAGCATGGTTATAACCCCATAAGTTGGAATAATATCCCTATGCCTACGTTATATATATGTATGTATGTATGTATGTATGTATGTATGTATGTATGTATGTATGTATGTATGTATGTATGTATATCCAGTTTTCACTGGAACTGCACTTCCAAGTGGGAACCAATGACCTCAAGAATGGCTGAGCGGACGAATTTCTTGGTAGAATCTTCTGGTACTCAACACAACTCGGGGCCGATAGCCGACCAATCAAGCAATCAATCGATCTGGGCAAATTATAGTGACCTCACGTCGTGACCGAACCCTGGAGTCATGGTGAATGCATAGGGGAATTATCCCCATAGCTGGTCTTATTTCAGGTGAATGATTTTTTTAAAAATTTCCCGGATCAATCAAGGGGTTATTGAACCATGACTTTTCCTGGCAAAAAAGGGGAACAAACCCAGCAATGAGATCAAGATGTCATCAGCATCCAATCTGTCGGGCTGTTGAAGGCCGGCTCTGTGAAATTCTTAGCTTGGGGATGCTGAAACCATGCTGCCAGGGTAATCAATTTAATGGATTATTACTTTTTTAAGATTATTCATGTCCATTGCAGATTATAGTAGCATCCTACTAATAAAAACCAATAAAATCCCTATATTGATATTCTCAGATACTAGTGATAGTAGTAACAGATTGTAAAACTATACCTATCAGGTTCTCTCTTGCAGGTGGTGCAGATGTCGCCCAGCGAGCTGCCTCACTCTGCCGTGGGCCAGCTCCTCACTGCGCGACAACGGCCCAAGCCGCAGACGCTGCGGCAGCGCTTCAGAAACGGAGGGGGGGTCCACGGGGAAAATGCTGGGTTTCGCCGGTGAAAATGAGGAAAAAGCGTGGATTTCGCCAGGAAAACATCAGGAATTGATCTGCAAAGATGTGGCATTCACTTTCAAAAGGTTGTAAGGAATATGTTCGATTTGACGTGCAAAGTTCGGCGATTAACTAGTGAAATTTTGACATGCAGATGGATAGCAGATGCAGATGCAGGTCATGGGTATAGCAAATTTTAATTTCAATGTCTAGCTCTGTAGGTTGGTTTTCCCTGAAATGGGGCGAAAGTCATTACAGGAAGGGTCCCTTTAGATAGGGAAGTTGGTTTATGACTCCAATGACTGTTGTATTTGTGGTGGCTATATCTACAAGTAGATGGGGTTATAGACCAATTTTTAACTGCTGACTCCATATCGTAGGGTTTGAAATCATGGGATTGTTTATACCATCCAAATTACCAAATAATCTTCATAATCTCATGTTCCCAGACCCTTCATGCCACATATAATCCACAAAATCCCAAGATTTTGGGCATTGACTCCTTGCGCTCTCAGGAAGAAGCAGAAGTGCGGCATCTTGCCCCAGGTGGTTTCGGCACATCCAGGCTACGGTTGGCTGGCGGAAGAGGGGTCACGCGCCGTTCCACCGGAGTGGCACAGCTAGCAGCTAGCAGCAGCAGCATCCTGTCGAAAAAAGAGAAGGAAATCATCCTGTTGAAATCGGACATCAACCAGCAGATTCCTGGGAATCTGAGTTACATCAAGCTGATTTCAGGAGAACTGATCCACCTGCATTGATTGCAGCGAACTGTGGCTCCATGACGAAAAGGTCGACTCAAGGCGCTGCTGATGGCCGTGTACCACGGGGGAAGCGCATGGAATACGGAGCAGACAACGGGCAGTAGAGGAGATCTGATGAGGCGACGGAAAATTGGGGCAGTTGGAGGGTGACATTTTCTGGGATCGCCGGGGCCAATTGATATGAGCCTCCGATAATCAAAGGAAAATCCACCATTTATAGATGATTTTCCCAGCTAGAAACCTCCATTTATAAGGAATTTTCCATGGCTATGTTAAATAACCAGATGGTAGATGATCTTCCCACTAAAACTTTTTTTGATCTCACTTTCTGGGTTGGATTTCCATGGATTTTCCAGTTAGGCAAGTGTGACACCAGAGAGTAGGTTGATGTTGCCATGGTGGCAGATACGATACAAAGCCTCGTCCTCTTGCTTCAGCGATCATAGATCAACCTGACTGTTTGGGAGCTTAGTGGATGAGTTTTGCGCCAGAAATGGTGAGATGTATGTATGCATGTATGCCTGTATGTATATGTATATATATATAATTATGATGTGTGTGTATACCAATCACCTAAAACCAAATGTTTGCAGTGTATCTACAGGTTGGCCATGTATCTGCAAACCCATGTTTCTTAGCTCTTCTTGGTTGTTGTGGATAAGATTGTCGAGCACTGACATTTCAATGTTTTTGGGGGGCCATACCCGGAATCCCAGTCCTTAACAATGAACCCCGCTATGGCACTAATGAAATGAACAGATTCAATACCAGTGGTGTCTGGGGAAAGGTATGAAACATAGCTTGTCATACTCTGCTGGCGATTTTTTGTGGAGGTTCCAAACCTATGATACTGTGGATGGAAGAAATCCTGCACCAGTTGATAGATGGTTTATCCCATTATTTATAGGGTGGTTCATCCTTTTGGTGGTTTATCGGATTTCGCAACCATCCACAGTATCACCAGCGATTCTGAGCAGGAACAGCAAGGCACTGGATGTCCATCCCATGACTTAACCCATATCCATATGATGGAGGTTTCCTGAAATGGGGGGTACCCCTAAATCATCCATTTATAGATGGATTTTCCCATGAAATAAACCATCCAGCTATTGGGGTAGCCATAGGAAACCCCCTTTTTTCTCAGTTCCAATGGGATGAGATTCTCACCCACCCATCGATTGCCGCTCAAGTGATGACTGAGGGAAGCCACTCCCAAAATATCCAAAACGAGCCAGTGTTTACTTAAGAATGGTTCTTATCATCTACCCTGGATTTAAATATATTTCAACGTACAAAATATATGACACTTATCATCAGATATAAAGATATCACGTGTCACTTAAAATTTCATCGGGAATGGTCATATCCCGCCAGCAATTGGGGTCACGACTGCCTCATGGCGAGCGAAACATCCCATTCAGGCGGCGCTGGGCAAACTGGGTGGATGATGGGTAAATGATAGGTGCACCGTTTAATCTTTAGCCCATCAGGGGGTTTGGAATGATTGCTATCGTGCGAAAATAGATCAATCAACTCTTTTCATTCATGTTTGGCCATCAATGGGTTGAAATATGCCAGATATTCCACTAACGATCGGAAGAATTAAGAGAGATCTAAGCTCAGTCGTGGCAATGGCACCAGTTCTGCAGCGGGTGACGAGGTTTGTTTTTCTGCGTTGAAATAAACCGATGATCCTCAAATTAAATGGTGGTAGGATTTCCTATTCCGAGAATTAAGGAAAACACAAAGATAATTATAATAACCAAAAAAAACGTAGCTGTTTGATTTTCATTATGTGGATAAGTAGAATTCCAGTGGAGGATGTTAGTTTCATAGTGCTTCTCAGGTGGGTATCCAGGTCCTCAGCAAAGCTTGGTCAGTGAGACTTGGTTGCCATTGGAACGGCGTCTGACAGCATAAGTCGTAGCCTTCTGAACGATGCAAAGTTGGTGGTTCATGTTGGTTAATGGTGATTAAGTCCTGGTGCAATGTTGGTTGATGTTGGTGAAGTGTGGTTAATTGTGGGTTGATATTGGTGAATTTTGGTCATATTTTATGAAATATTGCTTAAATGATAAAGGTTGCTCACGATTAGTCATGATGTTACCCAAACCATCCTTGATAATGAGTGTTCGTTGTTGTTGCTTAATGTTAATGAATTTGAGGATTACTTTTACGATTAGCCATTGATGGTTACCATCTGGTGATTAACATAGCCATGGAAAATCACCATTTTTGCTAGGTAAACCATCTATAAATGGGCCATTTTCCATGGCTATGTTAAATAACCAGAGGGTAATGCTGATATTCCCATGTTGCTCACGACTCCCATATTTGGAGATGAACGGTGGAGATCAGCACTCCAGTCTCTGGCTCTCTGGTCCAACCAGCGTGCGTCAATACTGGTGGCTAATTACCCAGGTTGGCGATGGTCATCAACCCAATAGTAGGGATTCATATATATATATATATATATACATACATACATACATACATGCATGCATGCAAACATACAAACATCCATACATGCATGCATACATACATACAAACATACATACATACATGCATGCATGCATACATGCATGCATGCATACATACATGCATGCATACATACATACAAACATACATACATGCATACATACATACAAACATACATACATGCATGCATGCATGCATGCATGCATGCATCCATACATACATACATACATACAATATACATATATATATATACATATACATATACATATAGTATATAGCTATATAGACAGAGAACCGTTGTCAGGAGTCCTATTCTAGAGATGGCTGCTACAACCCTGCGATTGCTGTGTGCTTTTTCGGGCCGAGGAGACCTATTTCGATGTGCCTCGAGCCTTACCGGTTTTGGTGGGTCAACAAAGATGGGGAATGTCACCTAGGACATTGGTCAGAATTCCCAAAAATGGCCATGATTGAAGGTATGTACAAGGTGGTGCCCCCATTCCATAGGGTTCAGTTGGTGGTCACATAACTCCAATTTCACTATGGTTTATAGATGATATATCTATGGTATTCATGGGGTTTATAAGCCAATTTATAACTGTGGCACCACCTTGTAGGGATCATAAGTGACTTGTCATATTACCTTGAAGACTTGAAAAGACATTTCATGTGAGTGTAATGTGAGTAACTAAAGCAAATTCATAAACCATTTCAAAAAATCACCATGTTTATAGGTGGTATAAACCATTCCCAAATGGGTGGTTTATGACATTGTGTTACCCACATTAATATAATATTCAAGTAAAAAAACAGCAACTCCCAAAAGAACATGATACCTAGCAATGTTTTCAGGATAGCCTCCATTTCGTCGCCAAGACTCCGAAGATGGCCACTGAAACAAAAGCCGTTTTTTGGGCTCAGCTCCATCTCTTCCCAATGTTTGCCCAAGGAAGTCTTCAAATTTCATCATGTTACACCCACCTATGGTATGTTGATGATATCACCCATGTCAGTGGCCATTTCAGGATCCTAAATTGGAGGTACCTACCATATATAAGGCCAGGCCTATGTAAGGGAATATCCCAGCAAAATATGGCCTTATATGGTACAGTACCTCCATTTTAGGATCCTGGAATTCCCATTGACATGTGTCTTGAAAAGAAAATATACACCATGAAGCTGTTTAATCCACTCAGATATTTCTGTGGCATATTTATCTCTATTGCTGTTGAAGAAATCCCCATGTTCATAGGCGCCCCGACTTTTGTTGGTCAACTTCAAAATAGTAATGGGTAAATCGTAACTATAGCCAAATCAATCAAGGAACCAACTTCAATGTTTCCTGATGAAAGTCATATTGTTGGCAGATAAATCCCTCATTTCTGCTGTAGTTTGTGATGGATGAAGAGCATCATCATATCTGGAAGAATCCCATGATTACACACCATGATCATCAAAATCCATCATTTTCAGATGGATAAATCCACCATGTTCAATGTGGAGATATTCCCTTACACAGGCCTTACATATGGTACATACACCTCCAATCAATCGGTTCCTGTTGCATGGCCATTGATTCGGTCCAGGTGACGCTGCCACATCAAGGCCCTCATCCCCAGCAGCGGCAACGCCTCTGTTGCAAAGCGCCCAAGCATGAGGCGGCCAAAAAGGGCCGGGCCGAGAAGTTTCGTGAAGAAAAACCACGTAAAATTCGAAGGGAACTTAGGTGTTAAATGGTTTTTAATGGGATTTTATGGTGATGTGATGGGTTTTAATGGTGATATAATGGGATGTCAAATTCATTTGATTGGGTATTGAATGGGATTCAAATAGATGTTTTTGCCCCTTTTTTCCATGAATCAATCATGTCAGATTGAAAGTCATAATGATCTTAAAATGAGAAAATACCTTTAAATGTGATTTGAAGCGTCAAGAATAGGATGGCATAATGGATAAGTGATGGGTGGTTGATGGTTATTTTCGGGGTTATACTATACAATCATGGGGACTATCATAGTTCGTGATGATGGAAATCCCCTTTGATTTGCAACTATAGAAGAGGTGTGTAACAAATACAGGTCGGAGAAGCCATCATGCGTAGCCAAGAAGAATAGGGGATCTTGAAAAAGTGTATTTACGATAGGCAAGCTGGCTTGTAACCACAATAAAGTTGTTGTATTTATGGGTGATACTGTGGGTGGAAGATATCCTGCACCAGTTGATAGGTGGTTTATACCATTATTTATAGGATTTCAACCATCCAAAGTAAGTGGGGGAAGTAAATGTTCAATCTAGCAAGACTTGGTGTGTAACAAGGGGTACCCTTAGTTCACCAACAGCCAGGGATGTATGAACATGGGGTCGACTGAGTGATGATGATGTTGATGGGGCAGTTTCATAGTTTACGATGTTGCTATGTTTGGGGATACCCTCTGGCTATTTAACATAGCCATGGGAAATGGCCCATTTATAGATGGTGTACCTATTAAAAAGGGTGATTTTCCATGGCTATGTTAAATAACCAGATGGTATATGCTAACAAGCTAAAAAGGTATGGTTGCAGTGCATCTAAGATGTAAGAGGTCCGCACTGACAAGGGCCATGGTAAACCATGAATGATCATTAAATAAGATACATACTGATTATGAGGCTAATACAAGGGCCATTTACTGCAGCAATCACATTATCGATTGGTGTAATCAGCAGAAGATGTGATAAATTGGCTGTCCAATCCCCATCATGAAACCTGAGAAAATCCCCTAATCGATTGGCGATTGATTTTTTTTTGGCCCATTCATATTACATCATATACATAGGTGCATTATATCCCCATGACCCCATATGTTCAATGGGAAATTCCGGATCCTAAAATGCTTGGTACTGTAACATCTAAAGCCATATTTTGGTATATCCCCTGAAAAATAGGCCAAAAATATATGGTAGGTAGCTCCAATAAATCGCTACCTGAAGTGACCATTGATTACTATGAACATCTAATCACATTGATAGACATATAAAGAAATACTATGTTCATAGTTTATACCATGAATATACCGCCATCCGGTTGGAAAGCACGGCCAAGAAAGCGAATGGGGTCTTCGCACTCAACAAAGTTAATTTTGAAAAACAACCCAGGAGCCAACCTGTTTCAGATCGAACTCGTGCAGATCAACGTCGTGGAAGAAGCAACTTTGGGAATTTGCCACCACCCACGCTGGTCGGTACTCCAAGTTGGGATTCACGTCAATCCCAGATCGCATGGAGAGGGACCCCTACTGCTTGTTCAACAATGCAACTGCTCAGATCACTCCTGATCTATGTGTATCACTATGTATCACTATATGTATCACTATGTATCACTATGTTTGTCAATTTCTTGAACTTGTGGCGAAATGTTTCTCCCCCGACATGGGAAGATCAAGGGAGAGCCGTGAAAAGAAGCTGGGGACAGGTGTCAGTATGGAGGCTTCTTTTGATGCCGGATGACAAGAGAGACAGTTGTTCAAAGGAATATTATACCATGTTCATAGCACCATGATTATACCATGAATATATACTATACGATTACTGCTTGGTGGTTTCAAACATGTTTTTTCCATTTCATATATGGGATAATCCCAACCCCAACTGGCGAAGTCCATCATTTTTCGGGTAGGTCAACCACCAACCAGATGATGTTCATAGGAATCTACCATGCTAACACCATGATTTTTCCGTGAATATGAATATATACTATACCATGAATATATACCATGAATATATACTTTACCGTGAAATATTATCATTTAGCCCGATACATATACTTAATTATCATAAACCCAGCAGTTAGCTAGCTATTTATCCACTTAGCTATATACTATACATTTTTTATAGGAATAATGATAAGTATAGTATATGTATCATTACCATAGTTGTAACCATAGTTGATATATATATATATATACCATTACAAAAATTATGGTATTATTTTCATAGGAATATACCCAGATATATATATATACATATGTATATATATATATACTATGATTATAGGAATCTACCATAGTTCTTGATTTGTCCATGGACGCCGCGATGCCCAGGAGCTCTTGACATTTTCCCTGGCAGCGCATCAGGATGCTCTGGCGCAGCGGCAGGCGACTTTAAAGCCAACCATGAGGATGTCATGGAATATCATGGGAGATATAGATATATATGTTATGGATAACTGTAAGATATAAATCGTGGAATATATCATATATATCTATATCTTCATATTATATATATATTAGTCATAACTATAAGATATGGATATAGATAGATTTATATATGTTTAGTTATTTTAGATATAGATATAGATAGATATAGATATACAATTGCTGGATATGAATATTTATATATCTATATATATATTTTTTTTAACTATCAGATATAGATAGATATAGATAGATATAGATAGATATAGATAGATATAGATAGATATAGATAGATATAGATAGATATAGAATTATATACTATAACTATATTTGTGTAGTTATTTATTTATATAATTACTGGAGATGATGTCTAATGATATATTTCACCGAAAACTGTGGCTTCAATTAACAAAAACATGGGGGACTCTATGGGATATGATTTCAAAACCTGGAATAAATATGGGATACACTGGGATATAAACCGACCCTCTTTTGGGAACATATCATCGGAGATTCTGGAATAGGTTTGTCCAAATGTTGGGGATATCCTAATAAATAGATATGGGGTGCTCTTCTACTTTCAGGAAAAAAAACGATCAACCAAGCAAACTGGGCTTGTAGCCAAGGGAGTTGTGATCCATGTCCACACTTCGAAGCCTTGGCAGGGAATCACGACTACAACCATGGGTTTGGTCATGGTTCTCCACGAAAGAAATGGATATTTTGCAACTCCTCAAAAGATACCCTCTGGTAAACTAACATAGCTATTGCCATTTATAGTGGATTTTCCCATTAAAAATTGTGATTTTCCATAGTTATGTTAGTTTACCAGAGGGTATGGAAGGTTCAGCTTACACCCTTTTTTGTTTGTTCTATCGATTTTGGGATTACTGTAACAAGATTCAGATGTTTCTAAAGATTGATAAAACGGCAAAAGCTTGAAAGTGGCTGATCCAGCAATGAAGAGGTAGCGGGTTCAGAGATTGTTGAGTTTGCATCCCGAATCGAGATCATCCCAGTTATATCGGTTTATAGCCCACTTGGGATGCACCCCACCCTCAATGACCCAATGATCCCCTGACCCATCACATCAGGTAAATCGCCGATCAGCATGTGGACCAACGTAAATGGGTGCAGTTAAGGTTAGAAGACTGGGTATAACTATATAAATTATGGTGTTTTAAATGTCAATAACCTTCATAAGTTGGGATCTATGATATAACGTGATATGGGGCCCGTTTGAAACGGGGGTTGGTTTCAACGCGTCCACAGCTGGACGATTGCCCTGCCATAGCCAACGACAGTAATGGTTGCAATGACCATGACATGCTGACCATGACCAACTGGTAAGCCAACTGGTTGTGTACTTCAATAAAACCTGGTTGGTAGTTTGGAACCTTTTTTTATTTTTCCATAATATGTGGGATAATCCTTCCCATTGACTAATATTTTTCAGATGGCTTGAAACCACCAACCAGAAACTAATTGGTAAGCCAACCGGTTGCGTACTTCAATAAAACTTAATCTTTTGCAGTGGTATTGGCGAACATCAAAATGCCCAGTGTTTTTTTCGAAGATTGGCCAAGTGTACGGTCTCAAAAAAAGAACAATCCATCGATTATCATAGGGCCTAGGGTGTTCTACTCATGTGGGTAAAACAATGCCATAAACTTTAACCATCCCCCAAATCACCATAAATGGTTGGTATAAACCATCAAAAATGGGGTGGTTTTACCCACATTACCCAATGATACTTGGGATGCCCAAAGCTCATCCAGAACTCACTGGATTTGCATCTGTGGGATCGGAGATTGGGCCATGAACGTTCCAGGACGGATCTTGAGATTTTCCTGCAGAAGGGGATCGAACTAAGGAATTCTTCTTGCTTCTTCCATGGCAAAGGAACAAACAGAAATGCCCTCTGGTAAACGTTTACATAACTATGGAAAATCACCATTTTTAATGGGTAAATCAACTATGTCTATGGCCATGTTGAATAACTATGTTAAATTACCAGGGGGTACACAGTGTCTACACCGTCTTCGGGTCAATATCTCAGCGAAGTGGAAAAGAAATGACGTCTCAGAGTTGTCCAATGTGAAAGTGATGCTGCGGATTAGTACATGGCTAGCAACCAATTTCTTGTTTCCTAAGTCATAATTAGGGGTACCCCAAATCATCCAAGTCAGACCACTTTGGTATTGAAACCTACGCTGACTTGGGCTACCACCATTTTAGGAAACCTCCATGGGGTTTATCCCATATATATAAGCCAAATAGCCGGCTTCGGCGGATTTTTGGTTATTTTGACTTATAACGGAAAACTACAAAAAGAATACGTCACATATATGCATGTACATATAACATGTTTGAAACCTATATCACATATGTACGTATATATATATACATACATATGATGTGCATATTTGGAAAGATTCTCATGAACCCAGTCCGACATCACTGTGATGACAACCAGCAAAAATAACTATCCCCAAATGATCTTAATTCAGTTTGGTGAATCATGATAATTCATCCAGAGAACCCATGTATCCCACTATAAATTTGATATGGGACCGATATATGCCCCATTTTGGGTTGGTTAGAATATATCGGACGAAAACCAACATATATACCCCATAGATGTACATATATACACACATAGATGAGTAAATTATAGTGACCTCACTGTGACCGCACTGGAATCATGGTTAGATTGCAGGGAATCATCCCCATAACTGGCCCCACTTGTCAGGCGAGTGAATTATGATGATTATGTACCCATGCACCTATAATTCTATAAGATATATAATTCCCCAATATGATTTGTATGATATGCCAGTAATGATATATAATTGGGGAATATATATATATATATATATACACCCCAGAAGTCAGTCAACTTGACGCATCCATCGCTAGGTGGATCCCAGCAGTGTGGTCTTGCGCTTCCGGGATCAGGATCTGGGTCGATTAATTTATGGTAATTTAACATAGCTATGGAAAATCACCATTTTTAATGGGAAAACTCACTATAAATGGCCATTTTCAATAGCTATGTTAGTTTACCAGAGGGTAATTTATGGTGATACAATGGGGGTTTCACCAACAAACATGGTGTAAAATCTGGAGATTTAAGTGGGGGAAAATGCTGATTCTATACAATGTGAGGCCCCCAGTCGATAGCTAAGTTGGTGAACATAACTCCAATAACTATGGTTTATGGTACTTATAACTATAGTTACTGGGGCTTATAAACCAACTTATAACTGGGGGGCCTCACATTGTAGGGATCTATGTGGCATTTAGATGGAATGTCATGGGTTTTTTGGGGTATAATGGGATATAATGAGATATCCACTTGTAACTTCAACTGCCTCGAGTAGCCAATATGGTTTCTGAACTCCGGGTACCGAAAACTCCAATTCGTTTGGAAAGTGATTGTGACCATGTGTGGACAGCCCATACCCCATGTGTCATTCCTATTGGTGCTGCTTAAATACCCCTGTTGGTGGTTAAAGACCCACTTTCATTTGCTGAATCCCCCGGGACAAACCCATCAGATTCTCTACCAGCCGGGTAAACCCAGTTGTAATTCCGGATAGTTCATCAGAGGATTTGGTCAACATATGCTGCCCTGACTGTTTATCACAACTATTGATGATTATTCTTGATTATATCGTTTTATTTCCACACACATTTCCCCCAACTAACGTAGACCCTGAAAGCAGCCCATGTTTCGTTTGGTCGTCCTGTTGGGGGGATGGTGTATCCCATCCAGGGGGATAGTCCTCGATCCATAAGGACTTGTTACCCATTCGATGGCCATTCCAGGAACCGATTGATTGCAGGTACCTACCATATATAAGGCCTACATAAGGCCTAAAGTTCAGGGAATATCCCAACAAAATATGGCCCAAAATATGGTACGTAAAGACGTACCTCCATATATAAGGATCCTTTTTTATTCCCATTGACCCTTTTTCAAGGAATCCCATAGCATGGATGAATGATTCCCCAGACATCATATTCAGCTTGTTATATCCGACTCATATTCCATGATATCCCCATAGTATGCGATGATATCCCCACGAAACCCCAATAAACATCATGATCCCATATTATATCCCATGAAATCCACGCAATCTCCATGAAATCCCAGTGACATTTCCATGGAATCCCCATAGAACTGGTACCCTCTGGTTATTTAACACAGCCATGGTATAGATGGCCCATTGATGGATGATTTTCCCACTAAAACCTCCATTTATAAGGGATTTTCCATGGCTATGTTAAAAAACAAGATGGTATTTCCTGACTTCCAGGAGAATCAGCTTTTCACCATCCACGATCAACTCGCTTTGGACCGTGCCATGGAGGACAGGCTAAAGAGCACTGGGATCATGCCGATGCATCGTGATGGGGTGCTTCTGAACTTATACATAACCCATATATTCATAATTAATGTATATCTATATGATATATGTATGTGTATATATATATATACATATATATATATATATATATTTATTTATTTATAGGTATGTTCCTGAGGTATCAAATTGGATATGGAAAATCGGGCAGTGGAAAGACAGAATGTTTGATAGCTAAATCTGGACCCATGGACCTGCAAAAAAGCATCCAAACGGTTTGGGTTTGACCACGGGCCCGAGTTCGAACCATGAAAAATGGGTTGATGAACCAAGAAAGACATGCAACAATATGGATTTAATTAGTTTTAATTACAGAAAAATTGGGAAATGGTTGAATATCAGACATTGGTTTTCTTGAACGTACGAACATGAGGATTTTGATTCACTAAGAAATGTGGATTCCAGTAACGAAAAACAGAGGAAAACAAACGCCGGCCACAAATCCCCAAGTCAATGTTTCGGAAAATCGTCCAGAATTTGGGAGGATTTTCTAGCCCCGCTTGAGGCTGTGGAAAGTTTGGTGCAAGTGAGAAGTTGGGGACATAGATGTCCTTTCCCATTGGTTGGTTGATTAATAGAGGGGTTTGAAGGTTTACCCCTTTAACAACAGGTTTCTATGAGGATAGATGGTATACCAGCTCCCGGCCCCTCTATTTTTACCAAAAGGACATTATTGGTTGGGGATAGGAGCTTCCACGCACCCGTGAAAGCTGCATCCCCTGCATCCCAGGAGGCTCGAGATTCTGAGGGCGTGGTGCAGTTGGATTTCTTGCTGCAGGCCAGCGTTGCTGGGTAAGCTGGGGATGTTAGCTTCAAAAACATAGGGATCTCACCATCTAAAATGGGAATATCGTGGGTATTGAACCGATGACGATCTGGTCTGGTTGTTTCACCTTGTTTCAATCATGGTCTTTATACGTACCACCAAAATTGGAATGATCCAAATCCAAATTGATTAATTCGTGTTTTCTGGGATGGGTTGAAACTACCAACCAGTGAATTTTGATGCTGTGTGATTGGTTCAGTCTTCATCTGTTTGGCTGCTCGAGTCACGTTTGTTTTGATAAACGAAGATATCCCGAGTATACTGGATGAACCCGGATGGATGAAAGTTGGTTATCGTTTCAAACCTGCTACCCTGGGCTATCTCAAAAGCTCGCGACCTTGAGAGACACTCATGGATTGCAGCATGGCAGGTTGACTCATGGATTCCGAAGGGTGAATTCTATGAATTCGGTGGTCCTTGTTGTGTTGGGACGACTTTGCCGGCAACTTCCCGACTTTGCAACGTGTCATTGAGTTTTGATCAAATCTCCACGTTGGTTGAAAAATTCCACCCGCGATTGTTGGTTCAATCCTCATTTCTGAGCCAACCAACTGGTTGAGTAGCTCAATACTTCAGCGTTCTGCCTCAAATGAATGAAATTTTAGTACGACCTACCTAAAACTATCTATTTTTGCCAGGCCCCCTCGTACCACAGGGAGAACGTGGCGTATCTTTCAGGCATACGCATGTTAGATTCCAACATACAACTGGTTGTCTGAAGACCCAGGCATTCGCTGCGAGCACTACCGCGGCTACGACATAGCGTTCGCCGCGGAAGAGCCGTGTCGATCTCGGCCGCAAAGTACATGTCTTCAGTAGCAGATCTCTTGAGATGTCACATGCGCCGTGTCTGTTCATGTGAGGTCGGAGTCAGAGGAGGACACCGACTATTCAGATGGAAGGTCGGACTCCACACGAGCACGCGCCTAAGCAGTCAGACTTTCATGGCAATGTCTCCCGAGGGAGGGTTCCTGGGACAGCAATCCCCTCCGACATGGAGGTTTTCTCTTCCTCGGAGGAGGAGGAAGAGCACCGCGGCCTTGCCTGCCATTGTTTGGAGCACAGTGACGGTTGTGAGTTTGCAGATCGCGCATGTTCAGGAGGAAGGGCGAAGCGGGACTTGGAGCTACGTGCCTGAACACATCTGCCAGGCTCGGCAGCGGTGATAATGTAATATCTGTAACGATTCGCCCGACACGTGCAAAGAAGTTAACCCGCACTGTTTCGACAGGCATACGGTGGAGATCTCCGACTCCTACCGGACGACGGCTGGATCTGCCCGGACCTCAACTGGAGTGTCGTATACTAGGTTTGTCGGGCTTGTTCCGGGGACCTGACCCGGCCTCGAGGCTACACGGATCCGGTGAGCTTGCAGGTCTGGTGGCACCGCGGTGTCACTTGGGCGTGGGAACGGGACTTCTGGCTGGAATTCTGATATATATATATACAGTCCGAGAGCTGGTTAAGAATCCGAAAGCTTGAGGCCCAGGGTCCCTCAAATTCTTAGAGCACGAGGTGGAGTTGGCAGATATGACAAGAGGCATGCGAAAAAAAATATTTTTTTAAGAGCCTGAAAAATTGTTTTTTGCAAAGCCGGGCTTGTCTGAGTTTCATGAGAGCAGTGTGGGGAAAAATCATTTTTTGGAGCCTGATTTTTTTGCAACGCCAGGCTTGTCTGAGTTTCATGAGAGCAGTGCGGGAAAAAATTCAGAGCGTGAAAAATTGATTTTTCGCAGCTGCAACCCACGCGAAAGCCAGCCCTTTGCAGCCAAGGCAAGAGAGAGAATGGGAAGGCAAAATTCCTTGAAGGCAAGGTTCCTGTAGCATAATGGTCGGGGTGTCTGCAGGCTTGAAGGTTGGAGGTTTGAATCCTGGCGGCGGACTCTTTCGGCATCTAATAGGGTCTGTCACTATGTCGTTTTCTTGTTTCCTGTAGTCTGCCTTTCACAATCACACCGCGCCGCAACTTGTCAGAGTAAATGAGCCGCAAAGGGGGTTTGCAAACCTCACGTATAAGCAGTAATTCAAGAATTTCGCAATCCTATTCCAGGGTCCCTCAAATTCTTAAAGTACTATGTGTTTAGTATGCATGAAAATATGTAGCCCGCCTTGGATTCGAGCCCCTCAAATTCTTATACAGTGAATCCTTGTACAATATTCAAGCTGTATTTCCATATTAAGTTATTTTATATATTATATATATATAAATATAAAGATTTCATTTAATGAGGCTGTCTTCGCCACAGAGGATATGAGCTTGGAAAGAACAATTACAGACAAGGCGAACTAGTAGCTCTCAAAAAGCCGGAAGTCACGTTCCCCAAGCCCCAATCTAATCGTTTCAATGCCGGCCAAGCAATATATGTAGCTTGTCCAGAAAGCAAAATGAAAACATCTACAGATATTGGTTCGTCCCTGTTTGTGCTTGCAACGGCCTAGCAGGACTTATCCATAGACACCGCTAGGTCGTTGGCGCCGCCCTCAAGACGACGGTCAAGATAACCCTCAAGAAAAAAGGAATTGGGGCAATGGTTCGGGAAGGCACTTCTTGAAACGTTGATCCACTAACAACACAATCAACACAACCATTGGAAGAGGCTTGCACACATGAACCCGGAGCAATGACACTGCGATTTCTATCTGCAGCATACCTCAGCCCAAGCACAGCAAACAATTGATTGGTTCTCGCGGCGCCTGCAAGACTGCTGTGCGTCGCGAGCTCAGCTTCTGGCCTAGCTTCGGGGCCCCTTCAAAGTATCACATGGCACATGCAGCGAGGCCAATGACAAACACGAAGAAGCGACCGCTGCCGCCGCCAACCGACGAAGAGCCGCAACCTCAATAGTGCCTCCTTGCAGTTGTGCTTTTCAAGATTGGATTACAATCTGGCTGTATCCGCGGCAAGGCCGATCTACATTCCTTGGAAGTTTCGGCGACGACCGAAACAGCCGGCCGTCCGCTACAAAAAGGCGCGGAGTGTCACATGATTAAATTGTTCGAATCACAAACTCTGAATGTTTGAGGTCGCCAGCGACCTCCAGGGCGATGGGTTCATCGTCATGGAGGACAAGGCGCGCGCAGTCACGCTTGCGTCGCATTGGTCCGAATCACTTACTCACGCGTGCAGGCGTACACCCCCAGTCGTAACGCCAAAGAGCCTGCTACACGGCAGGGCTCAGGCAGGAAGCCGATCATGCCCTTCAGGTGTAAGAAGCCGACACATAGAGATTCGCTTGAATTCAGTTCATGCTGGCACTGCCAGGATAGCTCGGGAGTGGCTGCGGCCAGCAGTGAGTAGGACAAGCCCGCGGAGAAGAAAAGAGACATGTCGTGCCGGACAATATTGTTCATGTGCATGGCTCAGACATGCGTCGGACATGAAAACAATGCGTGATCATGTTAGTACCTTTCAGCGCAGAACCGCGCAACGGTTCATGTGCAGCATCAAGTGCTCAAGTTGGAGCCGTTTGCCGGTCAGTGTCGCGATCAGGGCCTGAGACCCAGCAAGGAGACGCGGGATGAAACGAAAGAAAAGCAGTAGAGCAGAAATGAAAACAACCGCAGGCTATATCTATATCGCACGTTTGCTTTGAGCATTGCAAGTGAGGCGACACACCGAGGTCAGCTAAAGTGAGTCGTGCGGAGCTAAGTCGCGGAATTGCCGTGTGCTAAAAAGAAGAATGGCGCACATGGACAATTTGCAGATGGAGCTACAGCACGGTGAGACAGCTTCTGTGCTGGCTTGTTCAGGTGATGAACTTTGACAGTTCCGAAGACGAACTGTTTGTCTTCGCGCCTTTGGTCTTTGAGGCGGGTTAATAACTCAACTTCACCACTCATCCAATGCTGCCGTCAAAGCTGTGAAAGCGCTGGCGCTATGAGCTATACTTGGCCGCTCAGGATTCCGAAGCGGAGAGCGAGGCGGAGGCCGTGTCTGAAGCGGAGGCCGAACAACCGCAGAGTCCAGAGATTAACTGGAGGACCCGCGCGGAAGAATTCATCCGCAGAGTAGCGTTGAGGCTAGTGCTCCAATGAGGCAACCAGAACGGTGGCATGTTACCTGCTTGGATGAGCGGAGAAAAATGTTAACAGCAAACAGGGGGATGAAAGGATGCCCATCTAAGATTGGCCATGATACATAAATCTAATGTAGGAAGACGATTTTCTCTAGGAAATGAGCTATTCTCAGGGTCAAACTGTTGGTTGGTTTTTTTTGTTTCCATCAAATTCCAGTGAATTCCATGAAAATCTAAATGAAATCACATGCGCCACTGAAATATTCATTTTTCCCATTAAATCCCATGGTTGGCCAGTTAAAGATCCCCAGTCTGTTGTGGGACTGGTTGAGACTTGCCGCAGGTGGCACCAGCGGCGCGGCAACAACGGAAGTGTCGAAGCTGTCAGCAGTGGCTTGACTGAAGCTGCCAAAAAAATGGTGATGCCACTTGGGGGGAAAATTGTGATTTTCATTGTTGTTTTTTTTGATGAGATTTCATGGGATTTAATGCGGGCACACAACCAAGCAATTGCAGTTTTTGTAGGGAAAATGGCAGTTGTCATGGCGATTTGATGGGACTTAATGGGATTGGGGATGAGTTACAACCTGCTCGGTTTTTCTGAAAATATGGTAGCCTAAGCTCCCATGGTTCGTCATCGTTTTCTTTCTCCATTAAAATAGCTAGTTGGGGGCATCCCTTATTTTCAAACAGATCCATATATATATACATTATATTAGATTACATTAATACATTCATACATACATTGCATTACATTACATTATATTATATTATATTACCTACATTGCACACATTGAATACATTACATACATACATACTTACCTTACATTACATTACATTACATACATACATACGTGCATACCTACATACCTACATACCTACATACCCGCATACCTGCATACCTACATACGTACATACATACCATTACATACCATTACATTCCATTACATACCATTACATACCATTACATACAATTACATACATTTTCATACCATTACAAACCATTACAAACCATTACATACCATTACATACCATTACATTACATTACATTACATACATACATGGATAGAACTGACGACAAAATTGGGATTACGCAACTAATGGTGACCTGTATAACTATGATGGTTTGATCCAAATCTTCACGGAGATACCAATTTTACTACTGGGGGTATAATGGTGATTTAATGGGTTTTATTCCCCACATCTTTGTGTGGGGTTCTTGTTTTTGATTCTGTATCCCGCCTCCTCGTCCTCCTCCACCGCCTCCGCCTTACCACTTTGTCACACACAACTTTGTCACATACCATCTTTCACACACAACTTTGTCACACACAACTTTGTCACACACCATCTTTCACACACAACTTTGTCACACACAACTTTGTCACACACCATCTTTGTCACACACCGTCTTTCACACACAACTTTGTCACCCACCATCTTTCACACACAACTTTGTCACACACCAGCTTTCACACACAACTTTGTCACCCACCATCGTTCACACATATCTTTGCCACACACCATCTTTCGCACACAGCTGTGTCACCCACCATCTTTCACACATCTTTGCCACCCACCATCTTTCACACACACCTTTGTCACACACCATCTTTCACACACAACTTTGTCACCCACCATCTTTCACACATCTTTCACACACAACTTTGTCATCCACCATCTTTCACACACAACTTTGTCACCCACCATCTTTCACACACAGCTTTGTCACACACCATCTTTCACACACAACTTTGTCACCCACCATCGTTCACACACAACTTTGTCACACACCATCTTTCACACACATCTTTGTCACCCACCATCTTTCACACACATCTTTGCCACACACCATCTTTCACACACAACTTTGTCACCCACCATCTTTCACACATCTTTCACACTCAACTTTGTCATCCACCATCTTTCACACACATCTTTGTCATCCACCATCTTTCACACACATCTTTGTCACACACCATCTTTCACACACAACTTTGTCACCCACCATCTTTCACACACATCTTTGTCACACACCATCTTTCACACACAACTTTGTCACCCACCGTCTTTCACACACATCTTTGTCACACACCATCTTTCACACACAACTTTGTCACACACCATCTTTCACACACATCTTTGCCACACACCATCTTTCGCACACAGCTGTGTCACCCACCATCTTTCACACATCTTTGCCACCCACCATCTTTCACACACATCTTTGTCACCCACCATCTTTCACACACACCTTTGTCACACACCATCTTTCACACACAACTTTGTCACCCACCATCTTTCACACACAACTTTGTCACACACCATCTTTCACACACAACTTTGTCACCCACCATCTTTCACACAAAACTTTGTCACCCACCACCTTTCACACACATCTTTGTCACACACCATCTTTCACACACAGCTGTGTCACCCACCATCTTTCACACATCTTTGTCATCCACCATCTTTCACACATCTTTGTCACACACCATCTTTCACACACAACTTTGTCACCCACCATCTTTCACACACATCTTTGTCACACACCATCTTTCACACACATCTTTGTCACCCACCATCTTTCACACACATCTTTGTCTCACACCATCTTTCACACAACTTTGTCACCCACCACCTTTCACACACAACTTTGTCACACACCATCTTTCACACACAGCTGTGTCACCCACCATCTTTCACACATCTTTGTCACCCACCATCGTTCACACACATCTTTGTCACCCACCATCTTTCACACACATCTTTGTCACACACCATCTTTCACACACAGCTGTGTCACCCACCATCTTTCACACAGCTTGTCAACCACCATCTTTCACACACCACCTTCATAACACCATCATAGGCGTAACACTTGGACGTGGCAGGCGTGGCATTTGGTGACATCGACTTTCGTTTTGCATGGCAGGCGTGGCACTTATGGCACTGGGCTGGCTGTGGTGGCGCGCTTGGGCTGGAGTAGTCGCCGCTGACGCTGCGGCACTTTGCGTGGCAGGCGTGGCGCCTTCGTTTGACGTGGCAGGCGTGGCACTTGGAGACATCTACCTTCGTTTTGCGTGGCAGGCGTGGCACTTGGGGCACAACCTTCGTTTTGCGTGGCCGGCGTGGCACTTGGCGACATTTGCCTTCGTTTCACGTGGCAGGCGTGGCACATGCGTGGCATTTGGCGACATCTGCCTTCATTTCACGTGGCAGGCGTGGCACTTGGTGACATTCACTTTCGTTTTGCGTGGCATGCGTGGCACTTAGGGCACTGGGCTGGCTCTGGTGGCGCGCTTGGACTGGATTAGTCGCCTGTGACGCTGCGGCACTTTGCGTGGCAGGCGTGGCACTTGGGACATCCGCCTTCGTTTCACGTGGCAGGCGTGGCATTTGGTCACATCCGCCTTCGTTTTGCGTGGCAGGCGTGGCACTTATGGCACTGGGCTGGCTCTGGCGGCGCGCTTGGGCTGGATTAGTCGCCGGTGACGCCGCGGCACTTTGCGTGGCAGGCGTGGCGTTTGGCAACATCCGCCTTCGTTTCACGTGGCAGGCGTGGCACTTGGAGACGTCGACTTTCGTTTTGCGTGGCAGGCATGGCACTGAGGGCACTGGGCTGGCTATGGTGGCGCGCTTTGGCTGGATTAGTTGCCGGTGACGCCGCGGCACGTTGCGTGGCGTGTCAGGCGTGGCACTTGGCGACATCCGCCTTCGTTTGACGTGGCAGGTGTTGCACTTGGAGACATCCACCTTTGTTTTGCGTGGCTGGCTCTGGTGGCCCGCTTGGACTGGATTAGTCGCCGGTGACGCCGCGGCACTTTGCGTGGCAGGCGTGGCACTTGGCGACATCCGCCTTCGTTTCACATGGCAGGCGTGGCATTTGGTGACATCCACCTTCGTTTTGCGTGGCAGGCGTGGCACTTGGCGACATCCGCCTTCGTTTCACGTGGCAGGTGTGGCATTTGGTGACATCCACCTTCGTTTTGCGTGGTAGGCGTGGCACTTAGGGCACTACCTTCGCTTTGCTTGGCAGGTGTGGCACTTCTACCTTCGTTTTGCGTGGCAGGTGTGGCACTTACGGCACTACCTTCGTTTTGCGTGGCAGGCGTTGCAGGCGTGGCACTTGGTGACATCCACCTTCGTTTTGCGTGGCAGGCGTGGCACTTGGTGAATGTCACACGCTCTCTTTCACACACAACTTTCACACGCACCATCTTTCACGCACAACTTTGTCACACACACACACACACTAGACAAAACTTGATCTTTAAGAGATCCATCAGGAACTGAGACCTTTAACATGCAAATTGGACGGGAAACAAATGAACCTACGTCGTACTCGAATAATGGAAGTTCTCCGAAATGACCATCATGACCAGAATCGCAATCAAATAAAGTCCAAAAAAATGAAAAGCCATGAAAAAAGGTCCAAAACGATGAAAAAAATCACAGTATAGGGTTCTCGGCTTAGCCCTTCGCCATGACGTCAAATAAGGTCGCAAAAAACCAAAATTGTGATTGTTTGGGGTTCTTGGCTTAGCCCCTTGCCATGTCTGTCGCAAATAGGTGAAGACCCTGCATTGGGGTTCTTGGCTTAGCCCCGTATAAGCAGGTACGTTTTCACAGGTTCCCCCGCCAGAGCCGGGTCAACCCTGAAAGGCAAGAGGAAGAAAAAAGCGGACACAGACGACGAGCAAAAGGCCAACACAGCGCAGGGGGGGAAGGGAACGAACGGACCTCCAGAACCAACCTACGCGGCGAAACGGACCTGACAGAAACAGAGCACCCCCCTAAACCCTACGACACATTACGGAGAGGCACGGGGGAAGAATTAGGGATCGAATGGGGGACTAGTTGGTGACAAGCGTGAAAAAACAAAAACAATTAACCTAAAAAGGACCCAGTTCCACCTACAACAGATGTCGTGCGTTATTCCCCTTCGGGACCGTAGTCAAGTAAGTCACGCCACAAGGGCATAAACGGCTGTTCAAGTTCCATCGAATTAGATGCACGAAATGTTCAACCTCACCAGAGAACCATCAAAAGAAAAGGTACCACACCTGGAAAGGGTGTGCCTGCCTGGCGTATCAATCATGCTATGTGTTGTTGTGAAACAACTCAAGCTGCGGCAAAACGGAAAGTTTCTGGCAGTTCAGAACGGCTTCATACAGAAAGAGATGCATTCCGTAAGGATCATTGGGACCACAGGAGTAGCGGGAATTCTCGAAAAATGGTGAAGAACGGAAAGGCCGTCTGTTCCACTTTACTTAAACGAATTACCAATTGAAAAGTGTCAATTCTGAAGTCAAATTCGTCCACAGTCACCCGCAAAGGGCTTGCCTCCAGTGGCCATGGCACCATGTCGGAGCCACCATGGATCTTTTAAGAGATCCATCAGGAACTGGGTCCTTTAACATGCAAATTGGACTGGAAACAAATGAACCTATGTCGTACTCGAATAGTGGAAGTTCTCCGAAATGACCATCGTGACCAGAATCGCAATCAAATAAAGTCCAAAAAATGAAAAGCCATGAAAAAAGGTCCAAAACGATGAAAAAAATCACAGTAGGGTTCTCGGCTTAGCCCTTCGCCATGACGGCAAATAAGGTCGCAAAAAACCAAAATTGTGATTGTTTGGGGTTCTTGGCTTAGCCCCTTGCCATGGTACCCAGGGGGTGTCTTCGTTGGCCACCGACCCCATCTTTCTTTGTCACACAACATCTTTCATATACGACTTTGTCATATACCATTTTTTTCTCTTGTCGATCCTCCATCACATCCTTTGTCTTTCCTTCCTCCCCCGTCCCCCCTACAACATTTGTGGATCATTATTGGAAGAAGTTGACTTGTGGGGTTATCCGGTCCTTTAATTTACTAGAGACATCATTTAATCTATTTGTTAAATACATGTAGTATATACTGCCATTTGTCAGCCATGGAAAATAATGGTGATTTAGGGGCTAAAATGGGGACATCATGGGGTAATATCAGATAATGAGGTATATAAACAGGTATATAGCCAAGAAATCCCACCATGTGGGATCAACGGAGGTTCACCTACAGGGGTCCATATGTGACACTATCGACAACAGCAATTTGCGGGGAATTTTGAGAGACCTTTGCTACTGGCAGAGCCACGTCACGACAGTGGAAGAGCTTACTGTCAAAGTGACGTCCGCCGATTGGTACCCTTTGCTATCGGACAAACTTGCTGAGTCGGTCATCGTAATATCAGGTGCCCCCAATGTCGGCAAATCCAGCCTAGCAGTTCACCTGGCCAAGACCTTGGGTTTGACACGTACAAAGTCTACGAGCAGGAATTTCTGGCTCTTTGCTCGAAACAAGAGGCCTTATTTCTCCTTCTGGATATACTGCAGGGAGACCAATCTCTCAGGCTTCAAAGCCGAGGTGCGAGGACATTGCCAAAATATCAAGAAGGCGATGGATGCAATCTCTTGGGACTGGTGTCAGACAAAGGCAGAACGCCCATGCAGAAAAAGCCACACCCTCTGCGCCTTGGTCCAATGGGGCCTCACAGCAATGGCTGCGCACCTCATTTGGGCACATAAACCAACGCCTGGATGAGATAGCAGAAAGCATTGCTAGCAACAATGAGGCCCAGGCGGTGATTGCTCATCATCAGCCTCTTCTCCTTGATGAATTGAAGAAGTTAAACTTAGCGATCAGCCAACAAGAATGGATATATAATGTGGATTTACGCAACTACAATTGACGTGCATTAATGGGAATTAATTGAGATAAGCATGGAATTTAATGGGATTAACAAGTCAATGTATGAAAATTAATGCGGATATATTGAGATATTGGGATACGCTAGGGGGTATACTGGGGATGCAATGGGTTACATTTCGTTATAGTAAAGAACTGGTTGGTAATAAGGATCAATACGTCCTAGGATGTTAGTAATAGGAATATTTAGAAGAGCAGAATGGGATAGGAACATTTGTCCGCATCTATAAGTGGGAAAAGCCACAAACCCGGGACTTACTAACCAGGGTTATTAACCAGTCCGAGCTAGTTAAGTAAGGGTTATTGGCAACTTATTATGCCATCATTTTACCACCCAAAAGGGTGGCCTTACCATGAAGAAATGTGATTTATCTTTGGAAGAATCTATGTACAAAAAATGTGGGCTGGCCAGCAACCTGATGGCAACAGCTTGCAGCAGTCGGAAAAACTGCTATTGGAATTCCAACTCTAACTTTTTTTAAGCACATGTTTCCATTCATTGATCGACTCAAAATGATGGAAAGTCCTTCAGACCAAAAAAAGATAATTACGGTATGATATTTATCAGACATGTTCGCCATGTTTATGTTTCTTCTGTTTGCAGTTGATAAGTTTTCTATCCCAATAGATCCCAAATGGAGGTGTCCGTTTTGTCATGGGGCTACCACCAGTTCTCATCCGTTCAAGAATGTTGGATTTCCTATGAAACCATCCAGCTATTGAGGATCTCATCCAGCTATTAACAGGGTCTTCCCATATGTTCACCATCAAGCTATGATCCCCATCCAATGGAAATCCCCCGAAACGAGGCTGTTCACCTCGCGAAATCAATTGTTTCTCCATCTGAAAGTCAGCCGCCTGGCGCGAATTTGTTTTCTGCGATGGGATGAAGCGAAGAACTGCGGGATGAAGGTGTGATATGGTGTGATATCTAATATACATATACAGATTATGAAGAGTAGATTTTGACAGATTATCTGAATTGCATATGTTGGATATGTATATCATACATATTTGATGTGATGTTGTGTGATTTGATGTGATGTCACGTGATGTGATGTGATGTGTGCGTGTTTATGTCTATGTCTATGTCTATGTATTTATAAATAAGTGTATATGTCTATGTATATGTATATGTATATGTCTATGTATATGTATATGTATGTTTATGTTTATGTTATGCGTATGTAATGTATGTATGTATGTATGTATGTATGTATGTATGTATGTATGTATGTATGTATGTATGTGTGTATGTATGTATGTATGTTTATGTTTATGTTTATGTTTATGTTTATGTTATGCGTATGTAATGTATGTATGTATGTATGTATGTATGTATGTATGTATGTATGTATGTATGTATGTATGTATGTATGTATACCCTGTAATGTATGTATGTATGTATGTATGTAATGTATGTATGTATGTATGTATGTATGTATGTATGTATGTAATGTTATGTATGTATGTAATGTATGTAATGTATGTATGTATGTAATGTATGTAATGTATGTAATGTATGTAATGTATGTAATGTATGTAATGTATGTAATGTATGTACTGTATGTAATGTATGTAATGTATGTAATGTATGTAATGTATGTAATGTATGTAATGTATGTAATGTATGTATGTATGTACTGTATGTAATGTATGTAATGTATGTAATGTATGTAATGTATGTAATGTATGTAATGTATGTAATGTATGTATGTATGTAATGTATGTATGTATGTATGTATGTTCTGTTCTGTTATGTTATGTTATGTTATGTTATGTTATGTTTTGTATGTATGTGTGTGTATGTATGTATGTATGTATGTATGTTATGTATGTATGTATGTATGTATGTATGTATGTATGTGTGTGTATGTGTATGTATATGTATATGTAGATTTATATGTATATGTGTATATATATATGTATATGTGTATATATATATATGTATATGTGTATATATATATACATACATTCAGTTGTTTAGTTGATGTTAAGAGATCATTTATACACCATCTCAATCGCAGTTCTATAGATATGAATCCAGCAACTCTGAAAGCTGGAAGGAATCCCTCTATCAATCGCCTTTTTTTTGGTGATGACATCCCCATTCCTCTCAGGTTTGTCGTTCATCCCAATGGTGTCTTCCCACATTTACTTTACATTCCCCTTTCACAATCAGTCCACCGTTCCTAGAAATGAAACTAAATATGGCCTTCTTATTTGCTTTATAATTTGTTGATGTTCCCATGAAAGCCTCCATGCCTTCATTTAATAAAAATTTCCCAGCCAACATTTGGAGGGTACCAGATGGCCAGCAACCAGGTGGGCATGGTGACGATAGTCAGGAGCCAGCATATAGAAAGCCATGTTTGGGAGGCATATCCCCTGAAAGTTTAGCACTTACATGAACCTTATACATGGATATATACATATGTAGGTACATATGCATAAGTATATATCTATGTATATATTTATATATATGTACAGATATACATATAGGTATAGATATACATATATATATATATACAGTATTTATCTCCAACATAGGTCCCTCAAATGGCCGCTGAGGTGGTTGATACTCAGCAAAGCAAGTTTATCTCTTGGTTGTTCTGGTTTATCATTGGTAAATCACCCTTAAATCAGAGCATATAACCATACTTACAATTCGTTGAGATAGGTTTAATGTAAACAAACCACAGATCAGCATCAACCATGTCTAAAAGCAGGAATAATTCGTTAATTGCCATCATCAAATCATGTGTTTTTTTGTCTGTTACATGGGCCAGGCATTGCTGATAGAGTTTCCCCTGAGATTCCCATCAAAACCACCATCAAATTGATGCTTAAATCGCCATTTACCACTATATTCAGATTATATTTCATTGTACCACCATGATGTTCCCATCAAAAACCACCATTTTGGATGTTTCAATCACCATTGATCATTACCGTTTGATGACACCAGGCTGTTGACAGTTGCTTCATGTTGTTTCAATCCCTCCAGGAGGATGAAGAAAAGCCTGCGGCTTCAAGCTTGGGCAATGAAACCTTCCGCATTTTGGGCTCAATGAAGACGTCAGATGGGCCATGGATGGGCCATGGTTGACTAGTTGGGTCATGATGGGTCATGACAGTTATGGTATTAAATGGTTAGTATATCCCACTAATCATAATCGGTTGGTATGGGTTGATAGTCAATAGCTATTATTTTATGAGTAGCACATTCCACTTCAAAAGCGTAACATCGGTTCATTGGTTATTATAGTGTCATAAAGGTCTCGGCTTAAGGTTCCCTCGCCTAGGGTCCTACCGTGTGATCTTAACGGGCATTTGAGCCATTGCCCGTGGGCGGCGTTGCAGCTCGCCTTTTGTGTTGCAGCTGGGCTTGGGTTCAGCTGCTGGCTCCTTTAGCCTGGCACTTGTCTTCATCTTCCACCTGTTGGTGTATGTGCCGGGCAAACGCAATCTTCGTGCTCTCCATTTTGATTCTGACCAAGGTGAATTACGACCTCTCCGTCACAAAGGCGGTTTCTCCGGCGACTTCGTGCAAAAGCGAGGTTGAAGTGGTTCCTTCACAGAAAAGGGTTCCGCAGGCTTTCAGCCCCTCAACTTGCTGCTATTCGTCAGGTTCTTTCTGCACATCACAGTCAGGATTGGGTTTTCCTTGCTGCAATTCAGAGAGAAATGACGACACAGAAAGCTTTGCCGTGGAGGTGTCGCACATGTTTGAAAACACTCAAAGATCAGATGCCACGATGCGCTTGGTGTGGTCGCGGACCTATCACGACCCGCAAGAGGCTACACCTTGGAGCCATCAGCCGTCGCAACAAGGACAGGCCGAATGGGGATATACGCAGGGACAAGCTCAAGGACATGGTCATGGGCGGTCTCCGAGACGGCGTTCCAAGCGACAGAATCGAGGCAAAGGACAGCATCAGACGTATGCTGCCCCGGTGCAACAAGCTCCGATCCCTGCACCAGTTCCTCCTGCTTCCAAAGGGGATGGCAAAGGACAGACTATTGGCAAGGGACAGTTTGCCAACAATGTTCTTGTTCCACCTCCGCCTCCTCCTTTGATTGCAGCTGCTCCTTTGATGATTGCGCCTTCGACCTCCTTCCAACAAGCATCTCCTCAGGAGTCAGTTTGGGCCTCGCAGACAGGCTCACACGATGGAACAGCATTTGCTCCTGTTGCTGCTCCTCCATCAGACGCCGAAGTACGGTTGAAGTCTCTTTTGAAAGAACTCAAGAGAGCCCCGGAGGAATCTCTCACACCTGCATTGCAGGAGGAAGTGAAGAAAAATACGGCGCGAGAAGAGGAGATTGCCGCCAAAGGGTTGCACAAAGCAGTCGACAAGGTGAAGAAGGCTCGCAAGGCTGTGTCTACGGCCAATGCTGCAAGAGTCAAGCTCATGACGGACTGGCGGGTGTTCCTTCAACAGAGTGTGGTCACCTGGCAAGAGTACACCACCATGTTCCAGACACAAGAACGAGCACTTCAAGAAACCTTGAACACAGCCATCGAATCACTTGCCACTGCCAAGCGCAATTTTTGCGAGCAGTCAGAGTCCATGAAGGAAGCGGATGCACAAGAGATCTCAGACGAAGAACGAGATCAGAACGAGCCCGACATCAACATGCAGTCGGAGAACTCCAAGAGACTTCACGAAGTCTTGGCGTCTGTGGTCACAAGCCTCCAGGATCTCTCCGAAAAGGCCGAGCAGGAGGAGCAGAAAGCCAAGAGGCAACGCAAAGCGACCGAACCAACAGAAGAAGATGGTGGAGACCAGTTGAGTTCTGCTTTGCCCTCTATGCAGCCTTTTGGAGTGCCCGGCAGCAAGTGACAGACATGTACTTCTGCCCAGGGCAACCATTTTCGTTTGCGTCCACCGTTCAGATGAATTGGATGCATTCGATTGTTGATGATCCAGCGTTTCAAGCTCCTTGGACGGCTCTTGACGGTGCCACTCACATGGCCCATGAGGTTGGGACCTCTGCGGCCTTGCGGATCGAAACCTTGCAGTTTGGCAGATCGCACAGTTGTCACCGCAGGGTTCGCTTTGAAGATGAGGTCCAACTTCGATTGGATCATGATGAATCGCAACGGAGTTTTGCCTTTGCAGTTTCCGAAGGTGCCCTTCAACGTTGGTCACCGAAACCTTGGGCATTGGATCCCAAAGACAATGCTTATTTTCATTCACACATTGACTTTCATGCTGATCCACAGTCTTCGGCTATGTTGATCTCGAAAGCTTGTGACATTGACATTGACTCCATTTCATTTATGCAGTTGAACGTACCACAGCAGACCTGCCGCAATGAGCTTCCAGGTCCGGCGTGGCTGTCGATCGCTGCGCACAATGTTGAAGCTCGTGCTTTTCAAGCTCCTTTGAGAAACCCTCCCCCTGAGCAACCTGACGATGTTTTGCCTGGTGGAGATGTTGACATTGATCCCTCTTCGACGAGTTCTTCGTCACATATTTCACAATTCGTTTGCCTCTTTCATTTGCAAGATCCTCCGGTATTTGGGCGTATTGACTGGACGGACTACCATGTCATGATGCATGAGGCTGCGTTATTGTTGAATATTGATGACGATGCTTTGCTTGGACTTGTGGATATTGCCCATCCTCTTGGTGATTTGCCGCAAGATGTCACGCCTTTGATTGCCCATATTGCAGGTGACCTTGACCCAGGCGAGCCACGCTCTCTTGGCATTGCCGACATTGAGATACATGCCAATGTTCATGAAGGTCATTATTTCACTGCTCCAGTCGTTGACCGAGCGGTCTATGCATTTCCCATTACCACCGATCGACGTGGGATTTTTCAGACAGTCGATGTCGAGACGTATTGCCGCCTTGAAAACCATCGCTGCCTTCTCTATCACAATGGCAAGGCAGTCGTAACCCATGGCAATCCAAGATTGGAGCTTCGCCCAGGTGATTATTTGCGGATCGTGATCCCGCACCCAGAATCCTGTGGATGGTCTACGCAACGTCTTCTGCAATTCTATCGGCAACTTGATGATGCTGATGAACATCAATCTTCAAGATCCTCCCCGCGTTCAGGATACTCCCCCAGCCTGGTGCCATCTGAGGAGTTACGAGCTCATCTAGGATTGGACGACCCTGACCATTTTGCACTTCTTCAGACTTCGACGATGATGACATGCGATTCCTCTCCTTGCTCATCAGAAGTTGCGATGATCAATGCCCCAGTGAAGCCTGCAACCGGGGCACATGAACATGTTCGTCTCAAGTCTACTTCTGCACCTCATGCACCTCATGAAATGCTGTCAAGATGTGATGGTGTTCATTGCGGTGACCAATGGAGTTTTACAGAAGAGTTCCTGCGTGCAGTGAGATTGATGCAGGACACTGTAGACAACATTCATACTCAGGTTGACGATGCCAAGGACATCCAGGGCTTTGCTCCATGGGTTCAAGAGATTCACCATGCATGGTCACGATTGGCAACCTTGGGGCCCGGCGGTGCAGAAATGTTAGGCCGATTAGAAACCTGGTTCACTGATCACTATGCCTATCAGAGATGTTACAATTCAAGGGTAGCAATTCTGGGCCCAGACTTTGAAAACTGGGAAATGCAGATCAAGCGCCTTTGGAGGGAAAGGCTTCTTCCTGAAGCTCCTATTGAATTCCACCTCATTTATCCGCCCCCTGATGATCGAGCTGAACAAACTATCGGGCAGCTGATGATTGTGCAGCGTCCTGCTGCCTTCCAGCGGTCAGTACTTGTTTCAGTTCATGATTCAGCTTACGATCAAGGACGGGCGCATTCGTTGGCCATTGTATTGGGTGACAGGGTGGACATCCAGTCTGTGCAAACGATGCTGGAAGCCAATGAGGATTGTCCGCCAGAGGTTCCACAGAACCTATGTACTCTGTTCTTCGGAACTAGGCAGTTTCAGCCACATGAACGGGCCTTTGCCAGACATGGTCATGCGTTCCGTTTTCTCATTCATCGGCGACTCCCTCATTCACTTGCTGGTCTTGCGAACCTGGATGATCCGGAGTTGAGACAGCATTTGCAACTATTGATTGGGAGTGACCCGTCCAGTCCTCGTCATGAGCTGGCGCTGACGGCTCCTGAATGGTTTCATGCTCTACAAACGGCACTTCAACGAACTGGCATGCACTGAACGAGAGGACGAAGGGCCTGTCGCTTATGTCACCACATGGCTTGTGAATGGACATCGTTTCCCACGCTGCCAGCTTTCTCGAGTCGTACGACTTCGCTCTGATGGCGCTGCTTGGCAACGATCACTCACAGATGCATGGCGTGATCGACTTGATTTACGACTTCGAGTGAACTTTTCTGGATTGATCCGGTGCCTTCGAATCCAGTCACACAGCATGTCATCGGCCACATCATCATTGTCCAAGAACCGCGCCCGGAGCACGCAGCTGTTCTCCTGACAGGCATTGCACATGTGGCACATCAAGATGACATTTTTCATTGTGCTATGCACCTTCCAGAACGGCAGACAGCTCAAGCCATTGTTGATCTTTTGCCAGTCCCTTCGCATCTACGTGAATTCCCTTATATTATTCACATTGGCACTGAAGTTATTGAATCGCAGTCGTCCCGGAGGCTGGAATCTGGGGACAACTTCATCATCCATATTCAGGTCAATGTCCCGTTTCGAGATGAGCCGCGATTCAGTGATGCTGCCAGTAGCAACAGCTTGATCCAACTCCATGGTTCACGGTTGTCATTGACGTCAGTCGCAGTTGAAGACGAGGATCTCTCAATTGATGATGGCGATCCTCCGCCCAGCTATCTTACGTTGGCGGACAAGATTGACGCCCCTGTTTGGACTTCTGTTGATTGTGCTTCAGTTGCAGCGTTGCGGACTTCACTTCTCAATTTTGGCCTTCCACATGCCCAGTTTGATTTGGCCTCGGTGAAGTGCCCCCCTTCCACATGCTCTGCCCTTGCCGATATGCCATGGTGGACTATCGAAGCTCCTTGTGCGTTTGAGTTCTATACCGATGGGGCATTTCGACGGCAAAAAGGCAGTGCAGCAGCA